CCCCGGTATCGTGATAACCGGACGTTTGGTCGCGATTTCAGACAGAATGATCTGTGTAATGCTCTCATAAATTGCAGAGTTGTGTAGTAAAAAGCTTGTAACGCACATGCTGTTAATCGAATGTTTGTTATGACAACCTTATAAGTTACGTGTATGTGAAAAAAAATTCATACTTACTTAAAGTAACAGTCTATACATATCCCACTGCTGGGCAAAGTCCTCCTCTTTAACAGAGGGTATCAGGGCATATTCTACCATGCGGCCCCACTGCGAATTGGCGAATTTCACATATATTAAAAAAAATGTTTTTGTTATTATTTGGAAAATATGCAGGTTTCCTCACTGTTTTCGTTCAACGTTGAGCATGTGTTATAATCAGCACTTAAAATTAACAGTTTAAATTGAATTAAAAGCGAGCGACCGGACACTGAGCTACCACGGCTCTTTCGTACTTAATAACAAAATTGATTTGGTAAAGTGGGATTAAAGATATTTCAGAATGTTTTGAATCACTAGATTTAAAAAAAATATATCGTGAATGTTAGTGCCTTGATTCTATTATTTTCTTTATATAATTTCTTGACTTAGACTGACTTGAAACTATAACAAAACCGAAATTAGAAAAAAATTTAAAGACACATAGACCTTACTTTTTATTGGGTAGAGAAAACTTGTAACGTAAAATTGTAAGTTAAATCGAAGCTAGAAATAACGTCGTAATAAATATTACAAAAAATATCCTCGCAAATTATATAAATATAATATGTATATTTAAGAATATACTCGAATGATGATGCATAAAATTATCAAAATGCTCATGATGGTGGGCGTTTTACCTAAAACAAACAACAGATGGAATGTATCTTAATTACAAACGATAAAATTTCCGATGCATAAATAAAAAAAATCTTTCAATTCAGGTCTTTTGGAGAGATTTATTTTTGTAATACAAAAGTAGTCTGTTTTTGTCTTGGATCTTGTATTAACTGATGTTTTTGCTTTCAGTCCCGAGACTATTAAAGCTTTATCTGACGCAGAACCGGTAACCGGAACCAACGAGTTTGGGCCCTCCGCTGTGCGTAGGGCCGCGCATGTGCTCATGCGTGCGATTAACTATGGTGTGTCATCTAAGGGCCATCGAGGTCGCGTTCGGATCGAAACCCCGATGGCCGTCGACTGTGCAATTAGCTAATCGGTGGCTGGGAGGGGTGAGAACCGCCCCGGAATGCTGGTGTACCTTGTGTACGCGTTGTGTTGGTCTCGATGTGCTCGGAGGCGAGCACGAACTAGTGTGTTTGTTTTGCACTAACTGTGGGTGTAGTGTTATCTGGCGGGACCCGCGGCGGTGGGACCGGCGTATCTAAGTCCCCTTCCTCGACCGGGTCGATGAGGACGTTTCGCGGGCGACGCTTGTTGACGTTCGCGTTTGTGTCGGGTTGGTAACTTGCTGCGCTTACCACCAGAGGGTTGGGATGATGTTCGGCTCTATCGAAAAACCGTTTGGTCAGGTCTATAAAATATTTGCGAATCGTCGGGAGTCTGCAATCGCTGTGCAGGTCGACGTTGCGTTGAAACCACTGCGCACAGGTTGTGCAGCGGATGAACTTATTTTGTACTATTTGCAACTTTTACAAGCGAGTAGGGTGCGTGTGGGCGATGGTCATGCATGCGTAGGACATAATAGGTCGTACGCAGGTCTTATATAATAATAATTTGTGCCTTAAGGGCATTTTACTTTTAGCGTTAGTTAAATTGTGTAGCTGGCCGGAGACGAACGCGGCTCTATTACGAACCTTATTAATGTGCGTAGTAAATGACATACGCGAGTCGAAAGTGATTCCAAAGTATTTGACCTTTTTCTCCCAGGGGAGCGGTTGGCTATAAAAGGATATTTGCCCCAACTTTCTGCATTGGCGAGAACCTTTATAAAGATGTGACGGGTAAGTACTTCGTGTGAAGTGAATCGCCACACTCTTCGGGATTTACTTCTATTCTCCATTTGCGGAACCAATCGCCGAGGCAGTAGGCGGCGCTTGGGAGTCGAGTGGTTAGTTGACTGAGGTTTCGGTCTGAATAAAAGAGCGCCGTGTCATCTGCGAAAAGCGCGAGATTGATGTGGGGGTCTTTTGGTATGTCGCTCGTGTAGAGCGAAAAGAGCAAAGGCGAGGGGCAGGAGCCTTGTAGAACGCCAGCCGTGAGGCGGCAGCTTGTGGAGAGGGTTCCCTCGACTCGATATTGAAAAGAGCGATTCAACAGGAAGGCCCGGATGGTGTGTACAAGCCTATCTGGCACTTTGAGCGTATACAGCTGGTAAAGCAAGCCGTTGTGCCAGACCTTGTCGAATGCTTTTGCGACATCGAAGAAAAGAGCCCCCGTGCTAATATATTTAGGGTGATTTAGGCCTTTTAGAATATATTCCGTTAGGCGGTATAATTTATCGGGACAGGAATATCTAGTTCGAAAGCCGAATTGTTCCGCCGGCAGAAGGCCGTTGGAAAACACGTGCTCTTTGATCCTGTTTAATAGAAGCCGCTCGTAGAGCTTCCCCAGGCAACTGAGGAGGCTGATGGGACGATAACTAGAGGGCTGATTGGCTGGTTTATTCGGCTTGCGAATGCCGATAACTGTGGCTTCTTTCCAGTCGTCCGAAAAGGAGCAACTGGAGAGTAAAGTGTTGTAAATGGTCGCCAGTGAACAGGCCCAGGGAAAGCTTTAAAAATTTTGTTACTAATATTATCTGGGCTTGGGGCGGATTTTGGTTTTAAATTTTTGATAATGTCTTGTACCTCTTCGGGGGTCACTGAATTCAAAGGATCGCCTTCCGGCGGAAGCGCAGCCCTAGTCTCGATTACGCGGTCCACCTGCGTTAGGTTAGGGCTGTATCGGTCTTTTCGCGCGATGTACGCCACATTGCTGATCTAGGTTGTCCGCAAGGCATTCGGCTTTTTCGGAGTCATCTAGGGCTACTGAAGCGGTATTAGGTATAACTAACGGTGGTAGATATTCGCGGGGGTCTGCTTTCAGACTCCGTAGTCTGAAAGCAGACCCCCGCCAACCGCCAGTAGGCGGAGTAAGATGGCTCGATGTCCTCTAGGAGATGTCCGTCCCACGTGGTATATCGGTGTTCCGATACGCGATCTTTGACTTCTAGCTGAAGGCGTTAAAGTAAGTTTCGGTTCGATTCTGATCGGTATCGGTCGAAAGCGCGTTTGGCTGTTTTTTTTTGTCTAATTAGCAGTCGCAGGTCGTGCGGAAAGTTAAACCGTCAGTTGCCCGATAGTTTCACCGTCCGTTCCGAATCTACGACTGCGGAGGTGATAGTTTCTCGGAGACTTGCTATCGCTCGATTTGCGACATCGAACGTAGCTATCGTCTCGGTTAGGTTTACTATGTCCTGGGGGCCAAGGCCTTGAGTTTGACGTCAAGACGATGTCAGTCCACTACGGATTTGGTCGGAGGGACCGCGCCGGCGTCCGCTAATTCGGGTGGCATGAGCTCTCCGTCTTAGAGAGAGGTCCGTTCCGTACAAGAGCACGAAACAGAATGGTCTCTTTTTGTTGCGGGATTGTTGGGAGTATGTAACTCAATAATAAAAGTAAGATCTAAATGCTGTTACCTACAGCACGATATTTTCTTAAATATTTAAGAATAGCCTATTTTACTGCAAAATACTTAAAAGTTTAACTATGAAAAATCATAGATTTATTTTTAAAAAATGAAAAATCTACTCATAAATGATGTTCATTTTATTAACGTATTTAATGCAGATTCGTTTAAGAAGAACACAAACAATTTATTTAAATTATAAATCTTATCTTCTTCTATATGTTTACAAATTACGTGTCACGTTTTTTGTCCGCGATGGACTAAACTACTTAACGGATTTTAATCAAATATGCGCACCGTGTGCAGTTTAATTCAGCTTGAAAGATATGATAGCTTACATCTCAATTTATATTATCGCAATATTATTTTATTGCAAACTAGCTGACTCGTAATTTATATGGCAAAACAACGTTTGCAATATAAATTATTTCTAGACGAATCGGAACGCACCCATAAAATGTTTGACAGATAGGGACAGTTTTAAGGGAAAATAAAATTGTTGCTATTTCGATTTTCCATGCAATTTTTCCCTAAATTCTCATCGTTTAAACCTTCCCTGGACTGCCACAAATATTTCAAAACCAAAATTAACCAAATCAGTCCAGACGTTCTCGAGTTTTAGCGAGACTAACGAACAGCAATTCATTTTTTATATAAGATATAAGATTATTTGATTATTAGATGACAAACAGTTATAGTTGTCTGTGAGTTCCATATTAAGATTTTAACAAATGGTGGTATAAGGTTAATTTATCGGCAGGATTGAGTAAGTATCCAATAGATGGCGCTATGTTAAAAGTTGACACGTACGGACCCGGTAGATTTGCCGCAAACGAAGTTGAGCGGGCCAGTTACAGCATTATGAATATTAATATCTTTTAATTATTATTTAAAATTATCGAACATATATCAATTTCGTTATTATTCCTAAAGCCATTCTTAAAATATGGTATTTTATTAATTACCAAAGAGTTTTAAAAGAGGCTACATTTATTTCTATGTTTTAAAAATTTTATTAATTGTTTGCTATTAATTTCACCATAATATCAAGATTTAACGTAAAATGATTTAATGTAAAACGGAACGTAATCTTTTTTTGATGAGCGTCATCAACCCAACCAATCACAAATTCACAATCACCAACATGGCGGCGAACCACACGAACTTAACACTATAGATTATCGTTTTGACATATCTTCATTCTTCGTGCAATTTGACAAGTATGAAATGAAGTATTTATTTGTGTCCACGTGCTGTGGCAAATCTTTAATACGAAAATAAATATGTCGATGCTTGCGGGCCCTCGTCGGAAGCAAAAAGTAATTAACCTGCGCGCTAAAAATAATGAGTGGAGCAAGGATAACAATAAGTTCGGTCAGCGAATGTTAGAAAAAATGGGCTGGACATCAGGGAAGGGGTTAGGTGCAAAAGAAAATGGAATTGTTGAGCATGTAGTGGCCCGATACAAAAATGATGAAAAAGGCTTGGGATTTGAAGATAAAAATGATCAGTGGACCAAACATGAGGACGATTTCAACTCGTTACTGGCAAATTTATCTAATGGTAAAAATTGTTTTTATTTAGCCATATTAAGTATAAACATTAGATGCTCACAATATTGTGCGTTTTTTTTTTTTGTTTGACTTATGAGAAATATAAATTAGGCTAATATTCCGAATAGTACGTCTCGTTTTTCAAGCTAGAAAAAAATTTTGATCTATACAGAAATGTTAATAACTAAATACTATATAAGTTATAATCAATGAAAACCACTAGATTATGAGGAAAATATTAACAAACTTTTTAATTTTCATACAACTGAAATCCGTCATTACTGTGCGTCCATTATTCATTATAGACTATTATTTTAAGTTAAAAACTTACGTTTTCACTTTTTACGTTGTAAGAAGACACAAATACACAGATATATCACAAAAACACAAGTTTCTACTTCATGAACATGTATTATTAACAATTTCTAAAATTTAAAATTTGTGACTTAGTGTACACTTAATGTCTCGAATATTAGGTTCAAAATGAGTCACAGATCCGACACAGAGCGATCCGACTCGGATAGGTTAGGTTAGAAGGTTAAGGCGGGAGCGAAGCTCCCGCCTTAGCCTTCGTTGTTAGGTTCTTTTTTTATGACCACCCAGAAAACTTTAGTGTTACAGTACTTTTAGTATTTTTAAAGACTCTTTTTTAATAATGCGAAGGTTATAATGTATGAATTCGTAAATTTATACATATTGTCAAACACAAAATGGTGGATTTATTTAGTGAAAATAACAAGTTTTAAATATTTTTTTTTATTAAAAGTAAGTGTTTGCCTTGGTTTTCATGTAAGTAATATTTAATTATTAACATTTCTCTATCGATTAAAATTTTTTTCTAGCTTGAAAAACGAGACATACTGTTCGGAATTTTTACCATAAATTAATGTGAGTATTCTTTTAGAGCCCCTTTGTTGATATTTTATAACACATGTGTCTTTACAAAAACTTAAAATAACAATTGTCTAAATGTATTACAATAAATATTGTTTAAGATTAAGGCAAGATGTATTCTAAAGAATAAATCTAGTATACAATTTTACAACTTTCAACTAAGTTTTATTGTTAAAATACTAGAAAACTAACATGATTTATAGAAATATTCATTGATTTCAAACATATTTATTTTTCTAAAGCTTATTACTATTACATTTATACAAATTAAAGTTATATTCATTGAAGGTGACTAATACAAATTTAGAAAACATCTAATTTTCATTGACATTTTTAGCTAATGAAGATACTTCAATTAAATTACATAGTGGTGTTTCACTTGAAGATAAATCAAAAAAGAGTAAAGCAAGAATACATTACCATAAGTTCACTCGGGGTAAAGATTTGTCCCGCTATAGTGAAAAAGACTTAGCTAACATATTCGGTAAGAGGAGTTTTAAAGAAGAGCAAACTGAACTATATCAAAGTAAAGATGATGATGTCATCATACCTACTGAGCAAGTGTTTACTGAAAAAGGTAGCATGGAAGATTACTTTAGAAATAAATTGACTACTTTAAAGAAAAAGAACAAAATTAATGTTGAATTAAATTATAAAAATTTGGACTCAGACAATAATGCAAGTTGTGGTTTTCAAGGATTTTTAGGAACAACAGACAATATTTGTGATAGTAGTATACTAATAGAAGCTGTAAATGATAATAATGTTGAAAATGCGCCTAAAATAAAGAAAAAGAAAAAAAATAAAAGTAGGGAAGGAACTCTAGAAGATTTAGATAGTAAAAATGTTGAAGAAACATTTTCCTCTAAAGGATGTGTAACTGAAATACATAAACTAGAACCAGAAAATGAGGACTTTGAGATTAAGAAACAAAAGGTATCAAAGAAATGTAAGCAAGAGAAGAAAACGACGGTACAAAGTACTGATATTGAGTATATTGTAGAAAAAGTAAAGAAAAAAAAGAAAAGAAAAAATAAAGACATGTAAATATATTAAATTCATGATCAATATTTAACTTTGACATATATTTTATACTCTCCTATTTATAATTTCATTACAAGAAAACAATTGAATATTTACAAGATTAAATCTGTCTAAAATTACATATTATCTAATAAACCTAATCCACATGGCATGGTGCTAAGAACGCTAGCTGCATTTCCTCGCTGAATAGTTATGCTTAACCTTGAGCCAGAAAAGAACCAGCTCTCTTGTCACCAGCTGCGGCGTTAAGCCTAGGACATAAACTTTTAAAAATTTTGATGTACGGGGACCCCAATGACCTAAAGTTTAAACGGCAAATGGTACAAATACATAATCTAAACATAAAGACTCATATTTGCGCCATTTACTTACTTCAGCTGCCTCCGATGCCGCTAAATAATGTCGATAAATATTTTGTTTTTTATCTATTCCAAATCATACCAAGGTATTAGACTATATGGATAAAAACAAACTTGTTCATATTTTTATATAATTAAATTAGCAACTAGCCCGGCCTTGCTCAGCATCTTTTATAGTCAACTCCTCATTATTTTTTCATGTAAACATTCTAAGCAATTTTTCATAATGTCTAAGAAAATAAAAGAAAGAAATGCTTATTCATAGTCTAAACACAGCAGATACATATAAAAACTTAGAAAGTAATGGAATTATTATTTATTATTATTACCAAACACAAGCCATCAAGAATATATTGTAAAATTATTATTATTTAGATATTCATAAGTTTTAAGCGCATATCATATGGTACGCTTGGTAACTAGCGTGTATTCGAACTTGGCTTTTATTCGCTTAGCAGATTTCACAAATTTTTGAGATGTACATATTTTTGTTATTATTAAAAAAATACATGTCCATACAATGTTTTCCGTCACCGTTGAACATGTGATAAGTTAGCACTTAAAATTAACAATTTCATTGGTGACTGCACTGAGTTTTGAACTCAGGTCGAGTAAAATGAATTGAATGTGAACCATGAGCTTACTGTCCGGGCGCTCTAATGCATCGATTTTTAGTCAATTTATATGATAAAAGTTTCCAATGTGTCCAAATATCACTAATTTTTGCGAGGATATTGTGATATCGAATATCAAACGATATGTGTACCGCGTACCCGTTTTCTGTTAAGTTTTGATATATCGGACTAATGCCTAGTAAGTCGGAATCCTTGGAAATCTCTGGCCGAGGTTGCAGAGATTGGGAAGCCAACTAAAATATAAGTCTAAATATAGTAACTTAGTAAGTGACCAAGCTGTAAAATTAAGACTCTACATGACGCTCTACACGAGCGATATACCTAAAGACCCCCACGTCAATCTCGCGCTTTTCGCGGATGACACGGCGCTCTTTTATTCAGACCGCAACCTTAGACAACTAACCACTCGACTCCAAAGCGCTGCCGACCGCCTCGGCGATTGGTTCCGCAAATGGAGAATAGAAATAAATCCCGAAAAGAGTGTGGCGATTCACTTCACACGAAGTACTTACCCGTCACATCTTTATAATGGCCCTCGTCAATGCAGAAAGTTGGGGCAAATATCCCTTTATGGCCAACCGCTCCCCTGGGAGAAAAAGGTCAAATACTTAGGAGTCACTTTCGACTCGCGTATGTCATTTACTACGCACATTAATAACGTTCGCAATAGAGCCGCGTTCGTCTCCGGCCGGCTACACAACTTAACTAACGCAAAAGTAAAATGCCCTTAAGGCACAAATTATTATTATATAAAACCTGCGTACGACCTATTATGTCTTACGCATGCATGACCTTCGCCCACACGCACCCTACTCGCTTGTACAAGTTGCAAATAGTACAAAATAAGTTCATCCGCCGCGCAACCGGTGCGCAGTGGTATCAACGCAACGTCGACCTGCACAGCGATTGCAGACTCCCGACAATTTGCGAATATTTTAAAGACCTGACCAAACGGTTCTTCGATAGAGCCGAACATCATCCCAACCCTCTGGTGGTAAGCGCAGCAAATTACCAACCCGACAAAAACGCGAACGTCAACAAGCGTCGCCCGCGAAACGTCCTAATCGACCCGGTCGAGGAAGGGGACTTAGACACGCCGGACCCACTGCCGGGGGTCCCGCCGGACAACACTACACCCACAGTTAGTGCAACAACAAACACACTAGTTCGCCCTCGCCTCCGAGCACGGCGAGACCAACACAACGCGTACACAAGGTACACCCGCGTTCCGGGGCGGTTCTTACCGCCCCCAGCCACCGATTAGCTAATTGCACAGTCGACGGCCATCGGGGTTTCGGTCCGAACCACGACCTCGATGGCCCTTAGATGACACACCATAGTTAAACGCACGCATGAGCACATGCGTGGCCCTACCCACAGCGGAGGGCCCAAACCTGTGGGTTCTGGCTAGCCCATCGGTTCTGCGTCAGATGAAGCTTTAATAGTCTCGGGACTGAAAGCAAAAACATCAGTTAATACAAGATATAAGAAAATTAAGACTGCTGCAAAGAAATCAAAACAAGCATCATTTCATTTTTTTTCTACAAAGTTCTTCCAATGTCGAAAAACTTGCCACAATAAGTTCATTTTGAAAATGCAAAATCATGACAAATATTATTTAAGTAAACAAGGCAACGAAGAATTGTGTCGTTTAAAAATCTCTATAGTGATGATAATAATGAGTAGGTTTTTGTCCTATGTTACTACCTACCTGTAAAAAAATCAAATTAAGCAATCTGCATTATGGCAGTTACATGATTTTTGCTTACAAATACGGCAATCTGGAATATTGTATACGGCAACTCTTTAAAACCTGATGGCAACACTGCCGTCAGGGCGCTCAGGCGCTGTCATAATGTCGTTGTGTCCGCCATGTTCTCTATGTCTGCATTTATGAAGTGTGTGTAAAAGTTGGTTAGTAATAAAACTTAATAAGGTTATTTAAAAACATGTATTATCGTTAGTTGCCCACAAAAATACGATTAGTTTAATGTATTAATTTTTATAATACGTACTTAAATTTCTATTACGTGTATCATCTAACAACAAAACTATTCCGCAAAAAAATATTTTTGTTATGGTTATTAACGAAAGTCGTGCTCTTTCTCCTTCGGCGAATATATATCAGTCAAACCTGGCCCCAAAAAAATACGTCGTGGTTAAAAATCATGTGCGAGAAATTACGAACAGACCCAACAACAAGGCTAAGTTGGAACATAGTGATGAACAAGTCGTCGACGAAAATGTAAATAATAGTAAAATGAGGAAACGTAAATCCAATAATTATACAGAAAATAATGAAGGAAATTATGTTACTACTGAAATAAGTAAAAGTGATTTACAAGAATTAAGAAAAGTATATTTTCAGTGTAAAAGTGTGTTGGAAAAAATTGAAAGAAAGTATAGTCATATTTTAAATTTATCAAATGACAACCAGGATAATTTGCTAGACTCTGAAGAGTTAGAAGAAGAAGAAGAATGCAATTGCAGTCGAAATAAAAAGATTATTTTTGATGACAATGGAAAACAGATTTTTAAAGATTCCGAGTGTGAAAAGCACATTTGCTTGAAAAAATTGAAACAAAACCTTTCACATGACTCTCCATTAAATAATTCTAACTTACAAATTGAAGATGCATCTGATAACTCTATAGAACTACCCAACAGTTTAAAAGACTTAGGAAATATGTTAAAAGAACCCGATATTAATAATCAGTTGCGTAGAAATGTGATAAAAAAAATAAAATCTCTGAGACAAGATTATATCAATGAGCTTAAGTTTGATAAACAAGCACTTGTGGAGAAGTTAAAAGCTAATTCTGAGGAGCTTCTAGGTTTTGAAGGTACTAATTTATCTACAATAGTAGGATATCCAGCATGATATAAGTTCAATAAACATTCTTTTGTTACCTTGTATTTTTATTAAATATCATTTAGAAGTTTTACAATTGATTTTACTTATGAATACTAGTAAAATAAATAACTATGATTGACTTGATAAAACAGTTTGATTTATTGTTTTCATGTATTTTATCCTTTATCATCCACTAAAACAAATAAGTTAATGTAAAGTAATAGCAAGCTAGTAAAGTAGTACATGTCATGACATTAGGACATAAAACTGATTCTCTGCGCTGTAATTACAGCATATTTAACATTAAAATTTTAAATAAAGCTAAGATAAAGCCTATAACAAATGTAACGAATACATCTGCAGTAGAACCAAGGTAACCGACATAGGTCAGAGGATTAGCAAGCTGAAGTGGCGATGGGCCGGCCATATAGCTCGTAGAACCGATAACCGTTGGGGAAGAAAGGTTCTCGAGTGGCAGCCTCGTACTGGCCATCGCAGTGTAGGACGACCCCCCACTAGATGGAGTGACGACCTGTGCAAATGTGCGGGAAGTCGATGGATGCAGGCAGTCTATGGGGGAGGCCTATGTTCAGCAGTGGACTCAAACAGGCTGAAATGATGATGATGATGATGAAAGCCTATAAAGTACATTAATTTACTATTGGCTAGAATACAAGTCGCAATCATAATAATAAAAACATATTGTGGTGGGGCCACATAGCAGCTTCTGCTGCTGCATTAATGGGCAGGCTCATCTAGTGAAGTACCACGGCCTCACAAAAGACTGGCGTGAAGTAGAAGTATTTACTTTTGTGTTTCGATTGGTGAGAAGTATCCAGAGCCCACTTTTTAATTGGTGGTACAGTATCTGCATCCCATAGGTGTTTTGGTCCAGGGGTGTCGGTAATCACTTACTGTCAGGTGAACTATCTGCACATTTGCCAACTTTGAACAAAAAAACTACAATTTATCTCGTGAAACTTGCCTTTTTTTGATTTCCATAGTTTTTAACACCTGAATAAGATCTAATCACACTAGGGTGATTCACAATTTTCCGAGCATTGTGAGTGTGGGTCTTTAGATAGGTAGGACCATAGATAGAACCTTATTCAATGGTTGAAATGAAAGAAGATAAAAGTATAAGAAATCATTAAAAGGAGAAAACAATACAAATGTTTAAAAGTACTTATTCATATAAATCGCCTAGAAATTTACTATGTTATAGTATTTACTAAGCTTTAGATCTAATCTCATTCAAATATGCTGTAGTCTTACATTCTGAAGCTATTTCATCATTCACCATTTGCTTGAAAACCTTATGGCAATTATTTATGAAGATTTAAATCTGGTTGTTTTGACGAGCCGAATGCTCAGTAATTGAATACACTTTGGCGCCGCTTTGCAGAACTTGAATCTAAACTAAAACTATTGTAAAAGTCACTTAGCTAGAATGAAATAAAGTCTACTCTCTACTTTGGTGAAACCATGTTTCTAGCACTACAGAGAATGATACAACGCCTATTGTCTGTAAAACGACATTTATGATTATCAACGCTTATGTGTATATGTGATATTTGTTGTCGTATTGTCCACCTTGCGTCCTACAGATAAGGGTTACGAGCTCTGCGGATATGCCAATGTTGTTTTTTGTAGGTGTATTGAATTGCAGTCTGAATACTTAAGCGACACGGTCGCATACCTCGGCCGCAGGCTGCGTACGCGATAGCTTTGTGGAACTGGAATGCGATTTATGGCGGCGCGCGGTATTAGATGACCGATGTACACGTAGGTACATATTACTCGCTTTCGCGATGGTTTGTTTGCGTTTTGTTGTTATTTTTTTTTTTTGCGTTTGTCTGAGAGGTGCAATTTCACGGAACTTAGTTCTATCGCCCCATAATGTTTAATCTATCTTTATATCGAGCTATCATGTCATTTCGGAGTACAGTTAATCAGTTTGTCATTCGCTGCAAGGTCAAAGTTATTATGGTCGTCTAAGACGCATTCTTAAGCGGGTCGACTTATATACTTATATAAATATATGCCATATAATACCATAGCTAGCGAAATTTACGATGGCATTTGGAGGGGGCAATTAGATCATTAAAAAAAGTCAAGTAGAGTCTAATCAAGAGGTATTTACGACTGAATTTCGCAAAAGAAAGAATTTTATGGTGTCTCTATTGAGTGCGGCTGGTAGAGTAGAACAATATTATTTTCAATTTTTCGCCCCCGAATCTATGCACATACTAAATTTCATTAGTATGTGCATAGATTCGGGGGCGAAAAATCGATCTAGCTAGGTTTCATTTTTAGAAAATGTCCTTTTATCCCTGTTTTCAGGGAATGAAAAATATCATTCGAATATGACGGTAAATTTCGCCGCAATAGAAAATGTCATAATAGCTCGGTCGGTAATCGGGCGGCCCCAAAACAGACGGCCGTGGTTCGCGTCACGATCATTTACACATTTATTTTTTTACTTTTTTTTCGATTCCAGATCATTGCTTTCTTTATTTTTAATTTTTTGTCGATTTGTTATTTTGTAATTTTTTTTCCCTTTTAACTTAAAAGTTCTTTCTTTTGTGAAAAACATCAGTTTGTATTTTCTTACTATTACGTCGGTAAGATCGAAAAATATTATGCATATTTCGTTACTCAGTAATTTGTATCTAAATGTAATTTCCAAAATACACGATTTACCAAAAAAAAAAAACAAACCGAGCAAACCTCGGTCCTCCGGGTACTATATATATATATATATATATATATAATGTATAGGATATTTTTATGTAGAACATAGAACCTCCTCCTTTTTTGAAATCGGTTAACAAGAATAAATATGGTGACCTCGCAAATAACGAATTAATCATCATTCAATCATTGCTTTCTTTATTTTTAATTTTTTGAAAATATTAATCCATCTGTCTCCATACATACATAGTACTTGTACTATGCATGTATGGATACTACTTTTGTACTCGAAATAATTTGTATAAATATCGGTAGAAATTATTCCGAATATATGCATATTATGTCTCTACTATTTATAATTCTTCAATAATAGCTTTAAATCCTAACAAATATTTATATGATATGACCTCTGAAGGGTTTTACTTTTTTTTTCTCTTAAAAACATTGTCCTTACTTTAGGATAAAATTATCCTGTGTTGTAAGGACAATTTACAAACATTTATTTAATTTGGACTAACAGTCAGTCCTTGTTTTTTTTGGAGAGCTTTCTATGATTTATACCATATTTATAGACCAACTTTACAGCTCACCACAGCTACCAAAAGCTTCTGATATTAATCCAGCCGGTACTAAAAATTAAGTGAAGAAGAAAAAATAATATATAGCACATTACCAATATTAAATCCTGTTAATTAACTAACATACTCGACGTTCAAAAACTACTTTTATCTATGTCATGGTATTTGTGTATTTTAATGCCTTTTAAATATTGTCTCTCGAATGTAGAATGTATACAGTATAATGTAGTAAATGTATGGACATGTCTGTTGCATGCTGTGATATGACGCTACCAAATTCTTAGAAATTAGATCAATACGGTAGTTGGTGGTACATTTCACGCCATTCCACCCATTCTCCGCTAACTTCTGTATAAACAAAACCTTGTAGTTACATTACGTTAAACAGTATACATTCCGTTAAGCGGCGGAATGAAGAGACAAGTGTTTGTATGATGGATCGCTTGCACTTTGCACGTTTGAACTTGACGGCGTAAAGCGCTTTAAGTGTCTTCAAGCTTTGAACAAGGCAAGTTAGGCAAGTCTAATCTTATATGGCGCGATACCGCGTCACCGGTGGACGCCTCGTTCAGCTTTAATATATTCAAATATCGGCATACAAAAAATTAAATCTTGTGTAACTTTTTTAACAATCGTACTAGTTGTTTATAAGTTCTGTGTTTGTAAAAGTTATTTGTGTGAAGAAATAAAATGTCCACCGATAAAATAATAATAACATAAAAGATAATTATTTTAGATTTTAGACAATGTGCCGATTTGATTTATCTAAGTGTGCAGAATTTGCAATGTGTTGTTTTTAGTTATACGTAAAAGTTGACAATGAAATTGGATAACTTTGGCTTCGAGCAATTGCAGGTTGGTATTTAAGTTTGTTGAAACTTATGTATCACACTTGTGCACGTAGCTTTAGAAGCGGATACGTAATAGCATAAGTAGTATACGTTTCAAGGTGTACATGACTGTATTTATGATAATGTTAAATCTTAACGCATTATGTACGATAATTTTATAATTTTCTTTGTATGTATTTATAGTGTTGGCAACTCTGAGTCAAATTTAGCGATAGTAATGTTATGGGGAGAACATTTGTCTTGTCGACATGTATTAGGTAATGATACCGACAGCTGTTTTGTTTATTTCTATTTCTAAACAAAATAATTTAAATCGCCGCACATAAGCTTGTATTGATTATATACACAAAACGAAGTTTAGACTTGGCTAATTATTAATATGCATATATTTTCTGTGAGAAGAAAACTTAAAAAAATAATAACTAAATGATGAGCCTCGTGGTTGAAACGCATTCTGAGGTCACGAGTTCTTATCTCATTCATGGTCAAAAAAGCTTTACTTGCAAGATAATAGAATATACACTAAAAATCTAAAAACCAAAAATGAAGAAATTTAAAGGAAACACTTAAAGGAAAGCCTGCTTATGATTTTTATCTGTTGACATGTCCAAACATGATCGGCGAATGTATATTCTTAAAAAAGCTATGAAATATCGAATGTCAATAAGCAATAAAGCGTTAAATAGAATATTGAATTTAAAATGTCACCGTGATCTTTTAAAACAGCGGAAGTATCAACCGCTATTGGCGGACAAAGAATTTTGGCGGTTAACTGCGAAATAGAAACGGTGTTGAAATCACCGCGTTTTGAAGTAATCACCGTGTCTCACTTAAACGTCTTGTTAGCGGACTGCTGTTGACCCGGATAGCTCGGATTGCACATTTGAACAGCAGATAAGCAGTGAGCAGACATTCCGATGAATATTCAATTAGGCAAAACATGCAGTTTTTAAGCAACTGCATAATCTCGCTTCGGATGTCTGGCGCTTTAGGTCTATTTGCGTATAGTATGACTTGGCTGACGATTTGGTTGTTTTGCGGCGATATGCACCAGCCCGATACTGTGAAAATATATCAAGCTAATGGAAAAATGCCTTTCCATGGGTTCACCGTTCGATAATATAGTATTTTTTAGATTTTGTGGCACTACTCGGGAGTAACCAACTAGTGCCACACACCCACACACAAAACCGTGTCCGTCATTTCATAATTAGGGAGTTCTTAAAATAATTACTCTTAACGTAAAGCACACATTATTCGTAGACAGATACATACTTAAATGTACATAGACGATATCTTGTTTTAAAGTATATAAGAGATTAACTATAGACTAATAACAAAAGCAAAAGTTAATTACATTGCAAACGCTGGTTAAACTTTACGAGAGATAAATTAATGTACTATGAAATTGTAGGTATATCTTAAAAAGATCGACAAAAAGTTCCAAGGGTGTATATTTTTATCTTCTAAGTATAAGCCACAGTAACAATTTTCATCTTCTTCAAATTTTACATATTAAAAAAAATATGGGTCATTTACTCAGCTATTTTAAACAATATAGTTATATGTCGCGCTTGGGAGAGTGAGTTGTTTGAACGCGCTAATCTCTAGAACTACCAGTCATATGTGAAAAAATCTTTTGCAATTTTTAGCCCAATTATTAAGGAAGGTTACAGGATACTATTTAACATCACGGTACCTACGGGGGCGAAACAGAAACGTTTCTCCTGGATGATATCCCATGGAACAGCTAGTCTTTAATAAAAAAGATGAAATCAATGCACATGGGCTAGATTGTATCATTGGTACTTAACGTATTATATTGGTGAATAATAAGTTCTGTTATTGCTTCGGCTGTTAGCTTATGCAGCTTAGGGCGGCAGTAACTAGTACAGCGACAATTAGTTGCACTACGTACGCAACCTGAATTACTTAGCATTCGTTACAAGTTAGCCTTCTTGACTTAGAGAGTAGGCTTTATAGCTCCGCGATAATTTACGTAAATGGAGCTGTGCGAACGCTCCCCTACCGGAGGTAAAAATTGCGGTACACGGGATATTAGTCGATTACGTTATTTCCTTCCTCTTCTTTTCATTGAGAAAAGGAAACTTATGTTATTGTTTATTTTTTTTATAATTTTCCTATTAGAGGAAACTTAACTGGTATTTGTACAAGCTATTTTTAATAACTATAAGTGCGGTGTATACTGTATGTTTCCCAAATAAATAAATAAATTATGTCTTGTACGCTGATATGGTTTATTTTATCTCGAATAAATTTATATCACTTTTGTGAACGTGTTTTTCTATGACTATAATTAAAGTAGACAACTTTGTAAGCAAACAAAAACAGATTTTTTAAAACCAAGCTTTCTGTAGGAAAAGTTATAATGATTTGAAGTTGTAACTATCGCATGTATTATGTATACGGAAAATACATAACATTGGGCTTGATATAATTATATAATTTTATGGATGTATCGATATGAAGATATATAAGTTTCATTTATAAGTCAAATGTTGCATTACAACGAAGTTTTACTTCTCAAAATAGAATTTAATTTAAGTATCGACAAGTTACCAAATTTGACAAATATAAAAAAAACAGGAAGCATAAAGATTTTTGTCAGTGGCTCACTAATATGGGCAGACTGTTGAAACCGGGGTAAGAGCGTAGGCGTTTCATACTACGGCGAACAATAAATAAATAATCTTTACCGTCATCCATATTCGACAGGGTTTAAAAGCAGTGTCATGTAACCCATACTTTTAACAGATCTTATGTATATTTGGCAATGGGACATGAATAATTAGAACAACAATAAGGCGCGATAAATGATTTATTATTGTCTGTACCAATTTATTTCATTCCAGTTGGTTAGTTCTCGAATACCATCCCCTCTGATGCAGTAATTGACAACCCGATTAGCATAGTGGATAGTGAACCTGTTCTTTACTCCAGAGGGTGTGGGTTCGATCCCTAATACTGGCAAAATATTGTGTGATGATAATAGTATTTTTTCAGTGTCCGATTGGTTATACATATATCTTATCTATTTACCTCGTTATACCTCTCCCGTTTATCTACGCTACGCTATATATAAATATGAAGAGAACTATTGAGTCTTATATGAGTCATGTGCTTATCTATCATATTATGTATTTATTTGCAAAATAAAGATATGTTCTAGTACGTACCATAGTTATCAGTTATCTAATCGTAATAAAAGCGTGCCTAGTTTCAGAGAATGATGTGTCAAGATGTCTCCAAATGTTGACAGTAAATGCACTTAGTAGAAACCTGCACTCTTGCTTTGAAGACACCCACATCGTAATCACAAGGTGAGACGGATACGGGCTAGCTGATTCTGCTTCAATGTATCATCTTCGAATCTCATTCAGCCAGCAGAGGACTTAACATTATCGATGTCATGTGATCAAATTAAACAGATATTGTTTAACTTAATTCTGAGCTACTACGCAATTGACATATTAAAGAGCTAAAACATCAAAGGTCACGTTTACATAATTCATGGCGTATAACTGATCCCACGCTTCGGCGGATGTTCTCCCACTGCTATAAGTAATTTTAAGCAATTATAAATGATATGATTAACTCTAGTGTGGTTACGCCTATTTAATACAGCCGTGATAGCTCATTTTCCGGGCGTTTGCTTTTAATTTAACATACTCGAGCAACCATAGTTCCAATCCTGGTGCCCACACCAAAGACATTGTTAATTACAGTTTTATGTTCTGATGCTCAGCGGTAAAGGAAAATATCGTGGGGGAGGAACCATGCATATTGTCGAAATAATAAAAAAAAGTTTGAAAAAATGTGAAGTTCGCTAATCCACAGTGGGGTTTTGTTGTGGACTATGCCTTACACCTTATGGACAGAAGAAGTTTGCGCCCAGCCGCTTTACGTCTATTTTTAATTTTATCCTAAGTTCATGTTCATAGGTGTAAATGTCCATTGAACTCGTAGTATTCAATAAATTTAACAAGTAAAGCATTTGTCCTTTTCCTGCAATAGAACTTATTAAAGCTATTAAAAGGGCTTTCTTAATTTTTCTCATGTGGGAACATGAGCTTTGATGATCAGATAGTTTGTTATTTATAAATAGGTTCTTATGGTTGTAGCGTTACCGCTTATAATACTTATTGTGCGAATGTTTCATCATTAATTAAAATATCCAGTTTTGAGATATTGCCCTCTTTTGTCATCCATTTTATTTTCTTCAAGCAAACTTCAATCGAACCATCAGAGTTTTCATTAATATTAAAGTTCTACTTTAATCGTTGTTATTAATGCGATGACCCGATTGGCGTAGTGGATAGTGGACCTATCTCCTGCGCCAGAGGGTGTGGTGTCGATCCCCACTGGAAAACTACTGGAAAAATAGTGTGTGATGAACATAGTGTTTTTCTAGTGTTTGGGTGTTTATATATCCATAATATGTATTTATTTACAAAAGAAAATTATGTTTATCAGTTACCTAGTATCCATAGTACATAAAAGCTTCGTTTAGTTTGTGACTAGATAGCGTTGTGTAAAAATATATATTTTTTTTTAATTTGAAAAGTTGCCAAACGAGCAGACGGTTCACCTGATGTTAAGTGAATACCGCCGCCCATGGACATCAGGTGTAGCAACACCCGAGGGTTCCAGATGCGTTGACAACCTTTTGAAAATGTCTTGAAATATTTATATTTATTTATTTAACATTCAAGTCTAGGTCTTATTAATTGAAAGTAACGTTTTTTTTTTAAGGTTGATGATGTTTAAAAACCCCCATCCTTAATTTTTATGAAGAGAGTCGAGGGAGCAGTGTTAATTAATGAATGATACTATGTCTCACATTGTCGCTCAACGCTTAACCATTGCTAAGTATACAGAGATAGGATTTTACGAAGCTTTGGTCAGACCACCGACTATGTCGCGATTCCGATTACCCAGCTACTGTGATGTCACTACTTTATCAATGGTCACAAGTACAGCAAATTAAACAAGATTATAACATCATTTATAGTCATAAAGCTGTATCGTGTTCTTGATTGATGTGAATATAGATAGTCGATGCCTTCGACCTGTCCAGAGAAGCACGGATATTATAATTTCATATTTTTTTTACAAAACAATAGAAACACAAAGTCAGTAATATACGATCGTGTCCAATGTAGGTTAAGAGTAATATCCATACTTCATGAATAAAACGAGAAACTCGGTGGAAACCACCAAGTACAATGAGTAGTGCCTTTTTTTTTGGTATCGGGGGGGAAATCTTCAAAAGATAATCACACAAAGATAACCTCACATAACCCTGTCACGTTACATGACACGGTTATGTGAGGTTCTTACCCACTAAAACACCCTCGGTGGCCAGCCTCTGTACGTTTGGAGGGACTCCGGGATCTCCCACGGAACGCACCGGTGCCCCTCAGTACTGCGCGTGAGCACTCCCCGGAGAAGGATAGCTTCCCCGGTTCCCTCACCATCTTGCAGCAGCTCGAGACCACTTCGAGCTGCTGCTAATCCGTGTCCCCTTTTAGTCGCACACACGACAGGCAGGGAATACCTTAGCCCTATTCTATAAGCCCGCGACTACAAGTCAGACGGGGCGGCTCGTCCGTTTCTGACAGCCTGGCGCCTTCGTCTTCGAGCGGGATCAGCCCTCTCCCTGGAGCTTCTGGAGCATAACAGCTTCGCAGAAGGAGACCAGTGCCGTCCAAATAGATTTCTCCACCAGTGCAACCGACACTGCGACTTGTGGAGAAAGGTCCTGCCCGATCACAATGAGTAGTGCCTACGTGTACAGAAAATTGCATAGACTTACAGTCAATTGAAAGCGTAAACATCTGTCACTAAGATTCGCTCGCTCTTTGCGTTCAAGTAGAAGAAGTTAAACGGTTAAATTTGCACACGACGCTGTAAATATTAACTTTCCTCCGAAACTGTTCTCGATTAAGTGTAACTTATATTGTTTACAGACAGTGGGTAATGGAATTGTTTGAAAGAAAGAGAATAGATAAGATTTGCTATCGGTTCATTACACCAAAAATATACAATTGCAAACAAACGAAACAAAAATTGCTTTCTCGGTATTCTTCTTCTTTTTACTCCGTATTAGCATAGGGAGACAACTTTATGAATAAATGTTTACCATTATATCATACGCATGACTATTCAGCAATAATATTAAGCACTAGTCTTAGTAGTAGCACTAGTACTCCACCATTAGGCGTCATCCATCATACGTTCTGGCACAAAGCGGATTCCGCGAAACGCGCGAAAGCAGAACTGTGTCCGTGAACGAGACATCAATATTCAATTCATCGGCTGTTCGCACTCACAATGGCGCCGTAGCAAGTTGCTACTCGAGCCAGTTTCGCCGTAATACTGTATCGCTATAAATACTATGTATACTATATTACTGGGATAGATGCAGGTGGTTCAGTATCGTGCTTAGTGCTTCGGACAGTCTCTGGGAGACCTGTGTCCAGCAGGTTGAAATGATGATGATGACACTTGCTACTACTATAACATTTAATATACTGTATCACTTTAAATCCATTCAGTCAGTTGTTCTACCTTCTAAGGTTTGCGCCCACATTACCTCTAGTTTTCCCAACACCTCTCAGATAGCCCTGACTCTCTTGGCATAAACTAATATCACAAACATAATGAATGCCAACTGCCAAGTTTGTGTTTATGTTTATTAAATTTAGATATGGGTAGGTGACTCGAATTTGAATATTGTTTGAAACGAAGATGGTCGGCTGTACATTAAAATTATATTATATATTATATATACAACAAACCTTGGTTGTAATAAATAATTATTAAAGAAATGACCTAAAAGTGATTGCATTTGTACTCTATCTCTTTTCTAAAATATTTTAAGGTGTGTAAATTTTATTAGAGTTTAGGAACATTCCAGTCATACCAATACCTCAATTCCTTACACATGCGGACAATTGAAATGATACAAATAATGTATCGCGCATAAGCAATAAGATGTATTGGCACTAATGCTTCAGACATTCCTCGCCTCCTCGTACGGGTCTCAAGTTATTTTAGCGTCCGCGCTTGAATGATTCAACCGTGATTCATGCCTCACTTATGTTCCTATTACTTAATGGACAGATTCGAATGCGTCTTTGTCCTAACTTGACGATCAATCGACGCTTAATACACGCTAAACTTAAAATACGAGTTATTTTTCAAATAATGGCTCGCTATCAAGAACTATATTACTTCTTGACTTCTTGACATAGTGCTGCTCAGTTTGAAAAAAGCTTGCAGAATCATTGGCCTTTTTTTAAATCGTATAAAATGTTCATTCCCGAAATTCAAAATTGTGATGTATATCCTATTCCAATACTACTCAGATATTATACAATTGGCTATACTGTTGCTATCTCTTTAGGTTGGTATTATAATAATAGCGATTTTATTAGTTTATGCTAGATTGCTTGCCCGGACCTCCGGCGCGTTGTAATCTAAGTTATGTTAAACGTTTCGGTTTAGTAAATAATAGTAATAATGAATATTGAAATACTGCACATGAACCGATTATAATATTTAAGCACATAATGACGGACTTTTAATACATGTTTAGGCTAATCATTAACGAATACTAAATGTTTAATACTTTCAAAGCTTACCCATTACAAAAAAACAAAAACTTCATTCAACTATAAAAATCTGAATGAAGTTTTTTGGAGAACAGCAGAAGGTCGCACGATATTTATTTTATTAACTCGTTACCACCCCATATCAGATCGGTCCGAGTATAAGGGCAATTGTAAGAATCCGAATTGTATACACACAATTGATACGCGCACAATAGACCATCAAACGAACGGCATTGTTGGTAAATATATTCCGTATTGAATTTCGAGACAGTGTAGCAACTACCGGCGGCCGTTGACCCCGCCGTCGACCATTTAAATTTCATCCTTATCTGTCGGGCCGCGAGTCACACGAATACTTACTATCTCCACGATAGCATTAGTCATCTTATTGAACTTCTAGTCTGTTTCGTACATCGATAGATTACGTAATGCCTATTTAACGTCGTGTTAAGAGCATTTTTTCTCCGGATTTAATATTCTGCGCATCGAATTATATTAATGTCGTAAGATTAAAAGTATTAAATTTATGTTCCCAACCTTAATAAAATACCCATCTTCAGATAATCTTGTTTCAAGTTTAAATAATTTCTTAATTTTTTTATGGTTTTGTTACGCTTGGAGTCATAACAAATGAATATTTAAAATAACTATGTTTATTAATTTTGCGTACCCTTAAAGTTTTAATGGTTTACTACATCGGGATGTTGATTAAATTCATTAAATTCACATTTGCATGATGTAAATACTTTGCGTTTACTGCGTTATCTTAATATATAAGTGTAAGCAGTGGAAATGAACACATGACTCCAGACTTTATACATATAATATTAATCAAGACAACATTCATATTGCAAATAAATAATACATGTTAATGTATCTACTTCCAAGATACCATTATTTGCGTGTCGTGAAGTCAAAATGAAATAATCCATGCTCTACTTTAATATGTTTTAAAAAATGGAGTTGGTAAGTTAATAAAAATGTGATACAAGTACTATTTCTGATACAAAAATTCATCAATCAAAAATATAAATAATGTATTCCTCTTGTGCATAATGTACTCAAAAACAACATTTATCTGTGTTTGATTCTATACACTTTACATGTTGCGTGTTATGAACGCGTTCATTTTAATATGCTTATACATCGACATATTGCGAGCCGCAAGTTAGTGTACCAGCTATTCACCACGTGTAGGTAGTACATGTAGGTAGTACATGTAGGTAGTACATGTAGGTATCATTATTTATTAAAGTTTTTCTTTAAAACCGACTTTCTCAATCGTCGAAGTAACCTGCTTTTATGTAAACCGTGGGGCTTCAGATTAGTTGCCTATGAATGTGAGACATGGACATCCATATGTGAGTTTGACTTGCATTCCGCTGCTCTTAATAAATCGTAATAGTTTAATGAACAGTTGACAGTGGCGAAGGACCCTAAAAGCATTATATAGAGATCACCTGGTTACTTTGTAACCATTAACGTTAAAGTTATTTGTTTTCAGACGGCCGAACGCAGCGCTGGTTGGGAGACGCACAGGGTGCGTTTGAACAGGGTGCCGGGCTATGGGTTCGGTATCGCCGTATCAGGCGGCAGGGACAACCCGCACTTCGCCAGCGGGGACCCCTCTATAGCCGTTTCCGACGTATTGCGGGGAGGTCCCGCCGAAGACAAATTGCAGTGAGCGCTTCCTTCATCATTTTATATCACGAACGTGGCTTTGTCTTGTTTATCATGTCGAGCTTTATCCGACGCAGAGCTTTGTTAATTTCGTTTAAGTGCTTGTTTACATCTTACGAGTAGAGATGCATATTGGCATGCGTGCGTGCTCAGGGTGCTTCGACCACGCAGTAATTTTAGATAGAAATTGGTCAATTTGTTCATGGCGAATATACAGCGTGTCGTTACCATCGCGACAATAAATGAACACACGTCTAACGCTACTTGCCAATAATCATAAAAAAATATTAATGTTAAACAAAATCCATAATTAAAAAAAAATATTTTTCAAACAAACTAATTAAGTAAAAAAGAAACAATATTTGTAACATCCTATACAACTCGCGCCACAGCGTCGTATTACAAGCCTCTCCTTCTAACAGTATGTTTTGTCTCTTTTAAATTCATTCAACCCATTCATATGCTTTATGACCTTTACAAATGAACTTTACGTTACGCTTTTATAGGTAAGGGTGTTCTAAAATTCTTTGTTTTGGAAAATTTAATAACTCTGTAAATATTGATGTTTAAAGAATTTAAATGTTTAATACAACTTCAAAAGTTATCCTCTATATGTGTGTTCATTTATTGTCGCGATGGTAACGACACGCTGTATATATAAAAATAACAGTATAATGTGCCACTGCTGGGCGAAGCATAGAGTAGCCATGTAGAGGTTGGGCATATTTCGCCACGCGACCCCACGTGTTGACATGTGGAATGGCAGACCTCGAGAGTCACGATTCTTAGACCTTGCTTCATAGGATTACATTTATAGTAAGCTCTCCATGTGACATTTACAAGTTTGGCAAGATCTACAGACCAGTGGGAGATAATAATAGATATAAGCAAAGTTGGCTACAAGATAATCACTCCATATAGTAGTAATAATTTTTTTTAAATATTCCCTGATTGTAGAATAGTTATATTCCTATATGTATGCTATCTTACACGTTGTCTGTCAGTCACTTTCATTAATTTGATTACGTAGCGTTTATACTGAATTAGTCACCACAAACTTCTATCACTTCTGAAATCATTCTGATACAATCCTTATAGAAGCAACCGGTAACAGTTCCGAGAAAAAAGAATCCCGAAGATCGAGGGACGAATATCTAGACTCATTTGTGTCCGCCTTCCAGAGTGAACGACCGGATAGTGTCGGTGAATGGGGTGCCTCTGGAGAACGTGGAGTACGCGCGGGCAGTTCAGGTGCTGAGGGACTCTGGGGCGGCGGTGTCGCTGGTGGTGAGGAGGCGGGCGCCCGCCCCGCCTCCAACAGCGCCCACCACTATTAAGCTCTCACTCACAAGGAACGGGAAGAAGGAAGGTGAGCCAGAACGAGTGAATAACGTCCATTGAATTAGGTACTTAAGAGCCGAATAAATGATGATTTTTGAATGAATATTTGAGCGAACGAAAGTGTTATCTATTCGTATTATCACTAATGTTCCCGCTTGTATAATTCGTTGTTTTAGTTCGGGTGCTAACGATTCTGTTAGTATAGTACTAGGAGTGCCGATGTTTAATTCGAGTAACGGCTCAAGACTTATTTTATTTTGTGTATTTGTTGGGAGTGAGATTGATTATGCAACTAATTTTGGAGGTGAAAATGTCTTTTCACAAGATTTTACGAGCGAATTTTGTTACTGTATTGACAAAGCATTTTATCCCTAGGGCTGTATCAGAATGATGCAACCCTGGGAGTAATAATACCTGGAAAAAATTATCAATCTTTTGTGATTTCAGTCTATTGATGTTCACTGCCGACTTATCAGGGCTTGACGGTTCTACGCGCTCTAATACGACGTAACAATTTCAAGATTTAGACCTTACGTTAATCAAATGCACTTCTCATCGCTCTTCCAGATTTCGGAATAGTGTTAGGATGCAAGCTGTACGTGAAGGAGCTGACGATGCGCGCTAGAGAGCAACTCAACCAAGCGGGCCAGGGTCTTTGCGAAGGGGACGTGGTGACCCGAATCAACAACACCCCAGTCACTGACGCGATGACCCTCAAGGAGGCGCGCAAACTCCTGGAGTCCTGCAAGGACCGGCTGAACCTGGTCGTGACTAGGGAACTGATACGAGAGGAAACCGTCACCAACGGGAATTACCAGAACAATTACAACAGTCTAGGTAAGTGAAGTAGTGACAAATTTTATGAAACTGATCGCGGGTTGATATTTCATTTATATACCCGGTCAGCTCTTCACTTGTCACATTTTTAGTTTTGGTATTTTTAATATTCTCCTTGTAGATTGATGCTTATCCATATGAAATAACGACATTGACTTTACGGCGTGGATGAGTTTTTAAATTTCTCTCTTGGTAGGGCCAAGAGGGAAAAAGAAATTAAGAAAATTATGCATATGGATTGATTTACATATAAGACTCATACCTAGCATTCAATTATGATGATTATGCGTGAGGATTGATTTAAGAATAAGACTCATAACATTCAGCCCGCCTCAGTCCACTGCCGGGCACAGGCCTGCTCAAGGCGTCCTATTTAGCCCGTCGGAGTCTCAGTTCACTACTAGACATACTCAGTCAACTGCTGGACACAGTTCTGCCCAAAGAGTCCTATTTATCCAGTCGCATTACTTCGATTACCTTATATCAAATGCTGCATCATATATCAAGTGTAGTGTTCAAGTTTCAACTGTGGTGGGGCCACGCACCAGCTTCGGCTGATGCAGTAATGGGCAGGTCCGTCCGGGTAACTACTATGACCTCACTGAAGACCGGCTTCAAGTGGAAGTGTCATACTTCTGCGTTTAGCCTGGTGATTGAGATATCAGGGACCCACTATATTAACAGCGCATTTTCAACTCTACGGGTGTTGCGAATGCCCATGGGCGGCGGTTATAATTTAACATCAGACAAACCGCCAGCTCGATTGCAACCTTCCCACTTAAAATAAAAAAGTGTACATCGTCTGTGCGCAGAGGCGGCGCCGCACGCGTACAGCGCGGAGCCCCTCTCTTACGGCAGCGGGCAGAACGTGTACGTGGCGGCGCCCGTGAGGGGCTCCGATCCGCGGCGCTCCGAGGCCGACCAGCCGCCGAGGCCCCCGCCCCCCCGGAGCGACGGTGAGCGCACGCGTCCGCACCGGACGACCGCCAACGCTAAAGTGACACGCGCCCACTGATCTATTGTCCGAGGCGGATGACGTCATAGTGCACTAGTAAAGTAAACTAGTAGCCTGTAAATGACCCACTGCTGGGCATCTGTAAAATTATTTGCACGCTGCACAAGTACACACCCCGTACTTGTGCAGCGTGCAAATAATTTAAAATGATACAATAATCCTGATTGCATTTACGAACGGATTTTTTATTTCTTCATTTTTTATTGTTGAAGAAACAAACCACCGTACGTTACATTCGTAATAGTTATAACGGATTCAGAGATTCAAAATTACGTTTGACTAATTAACTATGTTAGGGCCACGCAACAGTGTTTGTTGTTGCCCGAATGGGCAGGTCCGTCTGGTGAAGTACCATGACCTCACAGAAGTGGAAGTGTTATGCTTCTGCGTTTCGTCTGGTGAGTGAGGTAGCTGGGGCCCACTTTATTAAAAGATGGCAAAGCATCTGCAACCCTACGGGTGTTACAAATGTCAATGGTCGGCAATTATAACTTAACATCAGGTACACCGCCAGCTCGCTTGCAGCCTTCTCACATAACAAAAATAAAAAAAACCGGCCAAGTGCGAATCGGTCTCGCACACGAAGGGTTCCGTACCATTATCTATAAAAACGCCAAAAAAAAACCTGGGAGACCACCTTAAACATTTATTTTTTTCTGTTTTTTAGTGTTTGTTGGTATAGCGGCAAAAGAAATACATCGTCTGCGGAAATTTCAACCGTCTAACTATCACCGTTCATGAGATACAGCCAGGAGGATCTTAGCAATAGAGTCCCGTTTCACCCTTCGGGTGCGGAACCCTGAAAACGTCAGGAGTAAACGCCAGGAGTAAGGGAGATGACAATGTACTTTCGCAGGAGCGAGCCGCGGCTGATCAGCTTCCAGAAGGAGGGCTCCGTGGGGCTGCGGCTGTGCGGCGGGAACCGCTCCGGCGTCTTCGTCTCCGGCGTGCAGCCCACCAGCCCCGCGGCGCTGCAGGGGCTCCAGCCGGCGGACAAAATACTGAAGGTAGTATAAACCATTTCATCCGTGAGCATTTCATTTGATTGTAGAGAAGCTTCTAACGCGACTTCAAACAAGGTTGTGTTGAACATTCAACGCTTTAATGGAGGGGGTATGAAACTGTTGCGTTGAACGTTCAACGCTCCCGGGAAGGGGGAATACAAAGAGACAGAGCGAGCGTGAATGCGTGACACTCGAAGTTTTACTTCTTCCGCGCGGAGGAACACCACGCACTCTTTTTTTAGCTGTTGTCTATATTGACATAACCATCGAATATCGTTTCGCCTGTAATTAAGATACTATGTAGTTATTATATATTTACAAGCATGTTTTGACGTGTATCTTGTTGGTGAAGTGAATAAATAAATAAAATAAAATCTGTGCTTAAAAGTAACAGCCTAAACATATCCCACTGCTGGGCAATGGCCTAATTTTTTTATACAGAGGGTATCAGGGCATAGTCCACCACGCGGCCACTGCGGATTGGCGGACTTCACATATCTTCGAAATATTTTTTTTGGTATTTCGAAAATATGCAGGCCTCCTCACGATGTTTTTCTTCACCTTTGAGCGTGTGATAAAGTCAGTCACTTAAAATTAACAATTTCATTCGTGCTGGCACCGGGGATCTAACTCGGGTTGATCGAGTAAATTGAATTAAAGGCGAGCGCCCGGACATTGAGCTATCACTGCTCTGTCTTGTGCTTAAATATGTTTAAAATCCATGCTTACTTTTGAATAAACCATATAGCATATAAAATTGCTTTTATCGCTCGTCGCTGTGGGATTTGAATTTACGACTACCGGATTCGCGCCCAGATCCATTAACATCTAAGCTAAACGGCTTTTCATTTACGTTGGTTTACATGCAAACTGTTATATACGAGTGATCCGACAGGTAAACGACATGGAGATGAAGGGTGTGACAAGAGAGGAGGCAGTTCTGTTCCTGCTAAGTCTTCAGGAGAGGATAGACCTGATAGTCCAGCACTCCCCCGACGAGTACAACGCTGTGGCCAGCGGGCAGACACGTGAGTTGTCGACTCCATAAAATATTTATTAGAACAAAAACTAATATAGATTTTACGTCAGTGTTTTAAACGAAACAAAAGTAAAAATAAACGCGTGTGTCTATTTATATAAGTACGAAGTTATACTGCTTTATTGTAACAAAAGAAAAATAACAAAAAAAAACATCCTGTATGGATGTACTCGTTTGTGAAATAGAAGATATTAAATGCTATGGATAACGTTTTATATGTTATAAATTTTTAAATTGCTTAGAATTATGGGTAAATGTCGAAAAGTTTCTATCGGTCGCCATGGTGACACCATGAAGTTGGTGTCACTTTCAGGTGTCGCGCATCGTAAGAATTCACCCTCGTAATTTTTCCCTAACGCGCCAAAATTTATATCAAGTATATCTTCGAAAAAAAAAACTCAAATTTATAACTGTGAACCATCTCGTACACGTCAGCTCCAAACAAAATAAAACGAAGCTGCAATGCCACAGACACTGGTAACTTACGAACGTATTAATTTCTATGTGAAATTTCGACGTTTCATAAGAATGAAGAAGGAAAATATTTAAAATTTAGAATTTTCGAACAGACACACAGATATGCAGACACACAGATACACAGAGACACAGATATACACACGCACGTCATAAAACACATCCCTTTTACTCCCTCCTCTTAGGGGGATAGAAAGGGACAAAAGTGAAGTAGTGCGATGTGTTAACACAACAACAACGTGTTCTGGCAGCCGGCGACTCGTTCCACATAAAGACGCACTTCCACTACATGGAGCCGCGCGACGGCGAGATGTCGTTCCGCAGCGGCGACGTGTTCCACGTGGTCGACACGCTGCACAACGGCACCGTCGGCGCCTGGCAGGTCTACAGGATAGGTATCTCCATTCATTTCTATCTCTGTCCCTCTTTTTCAACTTAGTTGAATTACACTGTGGTAGATCTTTACGATAAGTATCTCTATTCACTTATATCTCTCCCTTCCTTTCCAACAGGATATACAGCTGTCTATTCCCGCCTTTTCAACAGGCTTTCATCGTAGTAGTACCACATTGGGTTACCAAAGTGTTCTATATTCAAATTTAAAAGAACTTTTCACGGGCAATGTTTCTAATTGGGCAGTTCTAAAATCTTTCTGTGTCACCATAAATATTTGCGTGCACATCAAAAACCTCGCACAAGTACGAAGAGTATTTGCCTTTTTATTAAATTATAAAAAAATAACCTCTCGTCTCACTGGGGGGAAATATCGTCCTTTACTTAAAGGTCATTTTAGCGTGCGAGTGAAAACGTAAAATCGTCCTTGCAGATGACTTACGGTTTATTATGCCGTGCAAGTGTGGAGTAAGGGTTACTACTGAGGTACTTTGCCGAGCGAGTGAGGTTTAACGGAGCTTTATGAACAGGTCGCAGCAATCAGGAGGTGCAGAAGGGCATAATCCCCAACAAAGCGCGCGCGGAGGAGCTGGCCACGGCGCAGTTCAACGCCACCAAGAAGGAGATGTCCGGGAACGACGCGAAGCACTATTTCTTCCGCAGACGCCGCTCCACGCATCGCAGGACCAAGAGTCTGGGAAAGGTAGCTTTACTGCTTTAAGATTTTCTATGTGAGAAGGTGGCAAGCGGGCTGGCGGTTCACCTCATGTTAAGTGATAAACGCCACCCTTGGACGTTTGCAATGGCCGTACATTGCAGTCTTTTAATGAAGTGTGCTTGTTTACCTCACTCGCAAGACGCAGTATAAAGTATATGATTTCCACTTTACGCTGGTCTTTTGAGTTGGTAGTAATTCCCCGGATGGCAACAGCGAAGATTGTTGCGTGACCCTACTACGGTTAAATGTACAACATATGTTTATTATAGAATGGTTAAGTTAAAGTTGAACGCTGTTATAAAACATGAAGCTTCTAAATAAACAACGAGGGTCCAATGGTACGGTCGCTATGACAAATTGCAGTAGGCCACGTAAGTAGTGTTAATGATAAGTTTTCGGACTTGGTTTGTCCACGCGAAATAGATGTATCTATAACGTGCTAACAATACAGTAAGGGGTAATGTTTTCCAAGGTAAGACTACAATCTAGGTCGCAGTGGTCGTTGGGCCTTACTACCCAATCCCTGCGAAAAAAGACAAAAAGTGAAAACCGTCCGAGCCCAACTCGGGTGTCTGGATGTCCATGGGTGGTCGTAACTCGCCGCTCGTGCGTGCAGGAGCACTGGGACGAGGTGGTGCTGTCGGACAGCATCAGCAAGTTCCCCGCGTACGAGCGCGTGGCGCTGCGCGCGGCCGGCTTCGTGCGGCCCGTCATCGTGCTGGGCGCCGCGGCCGACCTCGCCCGCGACCGCCTGCTCGCCGACCACCAGGACTCCTTCGCCACGCCCAGTGAGTAGCCGCCTTCTCTCTCTCTCTCTCTCTCTCTCTCTCTCTCTCTCTCTCTCTCTCTCCCTTTCTCTTAATCACTCCCTCTACAGTGAGTACGCCCCTGCCCAGAACAGGGACTCTCACCTTTCTCTCGCTCGCTCCCCCTCAATCCCTACCTCACCTCTTTTCTCTTCCTTTCTCTTAATCACTCCCTCTACTCCTCTCACAGTGAACACCCACCTGCCCAGAACAGGGACTCCCATCTTTCCCACGTTTCCTCTCCCTCAATCATTCTCTCACCTCCTCTATATCTCCCTTTTTCTTAATCACTCTCTCTTGCTTTCGCTTGATTTCCGTCAATTGACGCGTGAATTATGCCGCACTCCCTGTTATTCCATGAACCCCCGATCACTCCCTCCCCCTCGATCGAAGTTTTGTTCCTCAATCACTTCCTTCCTTTTCCCTTTCTCCCAAGTACTCTCTTCCCTTTTATCACTGCTTCCGCCTCAATATTTCCTATCTCTTTCCCTTCCTTCTATTCACTCTTTCGTCTCTTTCTCTCCCTTTCTCTCAATCACTCCATCATCCTCTTTCATGTAATTGCCAGCCAATCAAAATTTAAGGCAAATCTGTGAAAAATTTGCCTTAAATTTTGACTCTGCGCTCTGTATCTCTACATAAATGTAGCGCTGACGAATTTGAATCATTTACGTAAAAAACGATTTCGATTTAAATGAAAGCTATAGCTACAGCTATAGAAAAGCTACGCAATCCTTGAGTATGATTAGAGATAACAGAGCTTAACATTAAAGATTATTACAGTAAACACATTAAGTAAAAACAAACGCACAGACCTTACCTTTTTTACGCCTGCAACAAATCAATCTGCCGAGAACCACCACAAAATTTTTACCACGTCCATCCGTGGCGTTTCGCCTCATTTCGCACAAGTGCGTGCTCAACGACACACAAAGTCTATTGTCAACGAGCCACGCGATCGCTCACCGCATAGCCGCGCCCTACAGAAATGGACAGCACGTTGGAGGAGAGCAAGACCAAGTCGGCCGGCATCATCCGGCTGTCCAGCATCCGCAGCATCATGGAGCGGGGCAAGCACGCACTGCTCGACATCACCCCCAACGCCGTGGACAGGCTCAACTACGCGCAGTTCTACCCCATCGTGATATTCCTCAAGGCCGACAGCAAGCACACCATAAAGCAGCTCCGCGCCGGACTACCGAAGTGAGACAGCCGATTGTCTAACTATTATATATATCTATAGCTGGCTCACCTGTTGATCCCATTCGCCAGATAAAACGCAGAACTATTACTCTTTGACTTCACGCCAGTCTTCTTTGAAACTTATTTCCCCAGTAGATCTACCATTTTCTATCACAGATTCTTAAGACCGTTCCGTTTTTATAACTCAACCCATTCGTACATACAAAGCAATTATTAATTGGTTTTCATTAATTGGACAACACTATGGGTGTATGACTAGGGGTTTCAACGATCCTTTTGACAAAAATAAATATTGAAAAAAGTCTTAAAGTTATCATAATTTCTTATACCGCATAGACACAAGGAAATGATCAAGTGTATAAACACGTTATACATACACAAAGAACGAATATGAACTTCCGGAATCTCTACGATTATGTGTAGTTCAAACAATAACTCATTCCAATCTAACCCACGGACCCGCGTTGCCTAAGTTTAACGTTTAACAAATGCGCCGGCGGTTAAATATAATTTAAATAAACTATCGAACATGGAAAAGCATGTTAAATTATAGATATCTAATCAATATTAGTTCTATAATCTCGAACTTACGCTTCCAATTAAAAGCTATGATTGCTACACTTCGCTCTCCGTACTTGTTCCTAGCAACACTACCATAGTGACCAACTAGCGACCCGCCGCGGCTTCGCACGGGTGCAATGTATTATACACATAAACCTTCCTCTTGAATCACTCTCTATTTAGTAAAAAGATCCGTTGTGTATTTTTAAAGATCTAAGCACACATAGGGACAGACAGACAGCGGGACGACTTTTTTTTAATGTGAAAAGTTGCCAAACGAGCAGACGGTTCACCTGACGTTAAGTGAATACCGCCGCCCATGGACATCTGCTACACCCGAGGGTTACAGATGCGTTGACAACCTTTTGAAAATTGGGCTCCGGCCACCTCACGCACCAGACGAAACGCGAAAGTATTATACTTCCACTTTACGCCGGTCTTCTGTGAGGTCGTGGTACTTACCTGGACGAGCCTGCCCATTCGTGCAACAGCCGAGGCTGCTGCGTGTTTGTTTAATACTATGTAGTGATTAAATTGACCCCTGCCACCAGATCGGCGCACAAATCATCGAAGAAGCTTCTAGAGCAGTGCCAGCACATGGAGCGCGTTTGGGGCCACGTGTTCACCCACACCATCACCCTGAGCGAGGCCAACCTCAGCAGCTGGTTCGGGAAGCTGGTCGAGCTGATCCAGCGCACCGACCAGCAGAAGTTCTGGGTCTCCGAGACCAAGGTGAGTGGCGCACAACACCAACGCGTCCAGACAAACAGTAGGAGTGGTGAGTGCCGAACAATGGACGCGAAACTACTACTATCACTAGATTTGATACATATTCTCCTACTATAACTACTACCACTATTACTAGATATAATAGGTTCATATTTTTCTACTATTTTGCGATGTAGGAAAGTATTTTTGTACTCGTACTAGATAAATTAAGTCATTGGATTCTCGTTTTTAATGAAATTTCTGTTTCACTTAGACCAGTGTTTCTCAAACTTTTTGTTGTACCAACAATGTTACTTTAGGAAACATTTAATACCCGACGCCCCGGAGATATTTTTCATGTAATGTTTTTAGAGAAATATGAATATTGAAGATTTTAAATGTACCGTTATACTTACTTTCCTCGGCTAACCGATTTTTATACGGCGATCGCTATATTATTTAAACTTTCAATCGCCCCCTCAGACTCAGCGCCCACTGAGGGGCGGTACCGCTGAGAACCATTGACTAGACGAACACCGTATGGACGTAACTTTTGATAAATGATTGTTTAAAACAATTGGAAGTCTTTGCTTTTCTGAGCGAACGTTAGTCATGTCGCGGAAGACTGTACTAATATTATAAACAGTGGAAATTTTATCTTGTTTTAGTTTGTTATCTTTGCGGGGTATAATCCCTAGACCCACTACCTATTTGAAAAACACGTAAAGCGAGATGAATACAGGCTATATAATGTTATGTTAATAAATCTATATTTACAAAATAGTTTGCCTTGACTGACTAACAACCGATAGGCCATAACTACAAAATGTAGGAAGCGGAAATTTAGATATATATTAGCTTTTTAATGTATGCATCTGCTTAGAAGGAGGAATTTTTGGAAATTTCAACTTTTAAGTTTTTGGTCTTTGGAGCTAAGATTGATACGAATAATGAAAATGTTAAAATTGTTGCTTCCATTGTTCGGCATGATCACAAACACACAGTGGTTCTTTATTGGTAGGGTTCGCAACAAGCTGTGCTGGTACAAATGATTATAATGTTACATTCTATTTCTGATATACTTTAAAAAGTTTAACACCACCAGACGTTTGATTTGACGTATCAAATTTAAAGATCACTTGTCCATATCCAAGCAAATTTTATATATTTGCCGCTGGTAATATTGGTTAGAAATAGAATATGATGAGATGGCAATATTTTGTAGATAAGAGTATGAGATATGCAATTAGTTACTTACCTTGTAAAAACTTGTAAAAACACTCGTACCCTGTTGCACAATTTCTTATGCAATGACACAAACTCCTGCGTATGTAATTTAATTATATCTGGGAAGGTGGTAATAATAATATCTGTTGTAATTATTTAAGTATTTCGCCAGTAAAGTCACGCTTGGTGGAGGTTGCTTGATAAAGGCGGTTCGGTGCATTTGGTAAACTGTATGCTCTCTCTTTTACTGTGTAGACTGTACTTACACGCAGCTAAGGAATATGGTGGAAGTTTACACTGTCCCTCGTGTTTCTCAGCAGCGTTGGGTATTTTATTAACCTATTTCTTTCTGTTTCTATCTTGCCGCGGTGTAGCACGTTGAAATGGTGTCGGACATATACTTCCCGGTCCCCCCCCCCCCCTGTCCGGCCTTCTACCCGATATCGCCCCCCATCAGCTACCACCATCCGCAATCGCCTCACAGGACGATCCGTCCGCATAACATGCCCCCATCTTACAACACGACTAACAGCAAGCGCCACGATCAAATATACGACGCGAACAGGAACCACGTGGTCCCCTACTACTACTCCGAGACCCTAACTCCATGCATGCCTAATACTAATACTCACAGCGTTCCTAACCCTAGCCCGGGCAACAGAAATAGGCACACCTTCGCCAGTTATCCGTACGACGAGAGGCAGAGGCACTACCAGCGAATGAGGATCAATGCTAGAATGAACAACTCGGCCAATCCCCCCGAGGTGTTATATGGCCAATACAAAAGCAATCCGGTACAGCCGTACAGGCCGTACAGCGTCCTGGAAGCCTCTAAGCCCGGTTCCGGGTTCGATCCTTCGAACACGAGACCGTCAGTCATGCCAGTAACCGAGCAGTTCCTGCCGGCGTCGGTATTCTTCCAAAACGAGCCGAAGACCCTCGCCGACGAGGGGCCCGAATGGAAAACGCGACTCAGAACGGACCCGCCTAAGCTCCTAGACAAACCCACGAAGCCGGTATGCAGGATCCCCCACTGCAAATGCAACGGGAAACCGGGAAACCTAACCCAACAAACGAGGTTCAGCGAACCGCGCACCCTACCAGCCATCTCGCCCAGGTCTCTGGCCAGACTAAAGAACCTATCTCTGCCGACTCTCAAGTTGGATGAGTTCGAAAGGGAAGAGAAGTTCGACAGTGCTGAGGCGGAAAGAGATGTAGCTAGTGCACTAACCAAACCGATTTCCGAACAGCACTTGGGTTATGTTTAGGAACGCTCGTGAATCACCCGAAAGTTACCATTTAGCTCGTACTGATTTTGAATTGTAGTGTTCGTTGCATGTTCGTTTCCTTTTCAGCTCTTGCATGTATGTATATGTGAGTAATGTGTTTCTGCTTCTTATTAATTGTTTTATTATTAATATTGGATATCGCTTGATTTTCTTATTTTTATTTTATATCGGACGTTATTTTGTTATTGCATGGAATTGATTTTTTTTTTCACTTAATCGTAAAAAGATTTTTATTTAGTTGTTCCAATTGACTCTATAATCATTACCGGATACGGCGTGTGTTATTTAGTTTGTATAATAAACATCACATAATTACCAGTGTTAAATACCACGTGTAAATTGATAGTAAAATTAACATTCAAACACGACACATCAACTTTGTTCCTCGATTGCTGTGACATCGTTTTATGACATTGTTTGAATGTTGATTCGAAGTGTGATTGAGCCCTTAAAACCAACATTAATCATCCACGGACGCTAGACACGATTTTAGGTTTCCGTTGACGTGTTTTTTGGCCATCATTCATTTGTCTTGTCTTGTCACCCCATTCCATAAACCCACCCTACCGTCGGACGCCGCATCGCACGAAAACAAAACCAACACGATCCACGACAAAATGCCACGGCCGAATGCCGCGGAATGGCGGAACGCCTCGAACGACAAAATGGCTGATTACCGCGAAATGGCGGAACCCATCGAACGACAAAATGGCCGAATGCCGCGGAATGGCGGAATGGCGGGAAACAGAGGCCGGAGCCGTTGTCGGACGACTTTTTGTTCTCGATGTCCTCGAGCACGGAGAACAGACTGTCGTACGCGTCCAGTCCGGAGAGCGACCTGGAGGTGAGTCCGCCGCCGGCGCCCCGCCTGGTCAAGTCCTCGTCGGACCCCTCGATCGCCACCACGCAGGACAACATGGACCGCGACGACGACATCAACCACTTGGCCGACGCTGTCCCTCCGCCCTACACGGTTGGTACAACTGCTTTTTCCTCTTTCGTCTCTTCCTCACGCATCCGCACGCATTTTCAGATACTGTCTCAATAGACCGATCACATCGCTGAGTGTTGCTTTTACGTTAAACTCAATCGTCAGATCACATCGCTTAAGTGTTGGTATTACGTTAAACCCGTTTCATTTTACATGCATTGGTGTTGGTTCGTTAAAGAAAGACAGTTTTTAATAGAAATGAATTTCACAAAACGTATAGTAAAAGCAATAGTTATGATTAAGGTCGATGTTGATGAAGAAATGACCTTTAGTCTGTCGAAGACGACGCCTACAGCTGACACCAGCAGTAGAAATAGAAACTAATCGATTTCATCATCACCTAAAACTTAAATGCGTCCGAGTGCAATTAGCACCGGGTGTACTGTCGAGCGAAAAATCGATCGCTTAGTAAAAAAACTTCATATATTTGTGAATATCCACAAAATGGAATAATAATTTTGTTTGCATCTGTACACAAACGAGTGAATTGGCAACGCTTGGACGGCATTAAAGTTTTGCGCGTACAACGTTAGAGACGCGAGAGCTAGTGATGTCTACTGTGGTGCCCACGAAATAGTCTTTGTTGCACGAATGGCCTTTCGTCTTTGAGTGAGGTAGCCGGGGCCCACTTTATTACAGTTGACAACGCATGTTGGGCCCGGTTAATTGTGTGGAGTTAATACTGTTGATACTCACGTAGGCTAAAGAAGACAATTATAATATATGTATATATATATATGTATATATATATATGTATATATATATATGTATATATATATATGTATATATATATATGTATATATATATATGTATATATATATATGTATATATATATATGTATATATATATATGTATATATAAATATGTATCTATATATATATATATATCTCTATCTGTATATAGATATATATATATATATATAAGTATATATCTATATGTATATATATATATGTATATACATATATGTATATATATATATGTATATATATATATGTATATATATATATGTATATATATATATGTATATATATATATGTATATATATATATGTATATATATATATATATATATATATATGTATATATATATATGTATATATATATATGTATATATATATATGTATATATATATATATATATATATATATATATATATATATATATATATATATATATGTATATGTATATGTATATATATGTATATGTATATATATGTATGTATATGTATATATATATATGCCATATATCATATATTATAAAATTATATATGCAATATCATATATACATAATATATATGATATAATAATATATATACATAAGTAGTATAATGTATATTACACTACTTATGTATATATATATGTTTATATATATATTCATTATAGTGAATTTCTCGGCATTATTCGTAGCGTGTAATTTTTTTTTATTGATTCAATTCATTTTTATGCATATTTTACTAAAATACTAGCATTCTGCACTCCTCAACATAAACTATAAGTGTGGCAAATTTCATACTCCTCCGTCCACACAATTTAGGCAAAAAGGGTTACAAAATTTCTGCTTCACGTATATATTATTATATTCATAAGCGCGTTGAAAGGAAACTGAATTGATTATTTCAAAGATCCTTAAATTATTCTCAAGCGACAGTCGATATGGTTAACATGTTCTCCACCCTCCAGCAAAGCTCATACGACGGCACGACATACGAATACAGCGCATCGAATACCGGCTCCTCGCTGGGGTCCTGCAGACTCCCTCCGAACGCGCCTGATGACCTTAAGGTCGCGCCCCCAGGGTGAGTGTTGCCTTTTCTTGTCCTAAGCAGCTCTTTGAGGTTTCAGATAACGTTCCGCGAACGAGGAGTTGGAGATTTGAATTAGATAGAGATGGAAAGAGATAAATGAGAAAGAGATGCACGAGACACAAAGTTATGATTGAGCGAGAAAAAGGGCCGTGAATAGCCGTCGCCCTTGGGTCGGGAATATCCGAACCGAACCTCGCCGAACCAGAAAAATTGTTGTGGACCAGTTGTGAAATGTGGTTAGAGGACTGATTATAAAAATAACCAAAAACTATTTTTCTACGCGTTTAATTTTAATAAAAATTCTTGCTGTTTCTAATGCATTATCTTCTTTTTTTTAATCGTTATTGATATTGACAATATAGCATTTTACCATGAAATATGTGAAAAATACAATGGTGTCCATTGCTTTTAATTTTTTTAAAGGATTATTATATTAATTTTAAGGGTTTCGTACCCAAAGGGTTGAATCTCATGAATCGTGATAATTAGACGGTTGACATTTTCACAGATGATGTACTCCTGATGCCGCTATAATACTAAAAAACGGAATAAAACAATATTTAAGATGGGCTCCCATACAACAGACATGATTTTTTGAGGTTTTCATAGATAATGGTACGAAACCATTCGTGAGCGAGTCCGACAAGCAGTTGGTCGGTTTTAAAAAAATTCCATTAACACTGTTCATAGCACTAGTGTAATCCGTCCGTAGCAAATTGGAGCCGCCGCCCCCACCCAACCCCACGGCGATGTCGCAGAGCCCGCAGCGCAACTCGAACTCGCACGACCACCCCTCGCTCGACTATCGGGGGCCCGAAAACAATTACAGGTATCGTGTTCAAAATTGCGATCGAAATTAAAAATCAATAATCGAAATTACGGTGGTAGGGGTAAGTATCGCGACCTCACAGAAGGCCGCCGTGAAGTGGATGTGACATTCTTGTGTTTCGTCTGGCGATGAAAGGTAGCCGGGGCCCACTGTATTAAAAGGTGTCAACCCTACTGGCGTTGTAAATGTCCATGGGCGGTTGTCACTTACCATCAGGTGAACCGTTAGCTCGCTTGCCACCTTCTCATATAAAAAAAGTAAATCAAGTCTTGTGAGCTTTCAAGTTGAAAGACCCGGAACCAGCCAACTCTTGTCTTGAAATAATGATGTTTCCCAAGATTTTAAAAAATTATCACGGTCTTCCCAGTCTACTGCCCTTCCGTCCATTATTTGCAAAGTATATAATGTGTAATGTATATGAACTTAAAATTTAAGAAAACCAATCATTTTTTGCAATGTTTAGCGCCATCTAGTGTGCAGCCGTAATGGCTTTTTTAATTTACGTTTTTTTTTTTTCACATTAATATCCAAAGTTTCATCTTGAGTGCGCAAAAAATTAAAATTGAGTTAATTTTTGTACATAAATGAACAGAGACTTTCGGCTGCGGTATTCGAACCTGCGTCTTAATAAATACTAGTCCAGAGTCTCTCCCTTAATAATAAATGCCTATATTTTTATGCAACAGATGCGCAGAAGGCTACCGTGGCGGTCGACCAAGTAACGGCGGCAGCCCGCACGCCCAACATCCGCAGCAGCACCAGTCGCTACAACAGCACCAACAGCAGCAGCAACAGCACCAACAACAGCACCTACAACAGCAGCACCAACAACAGCACCAAACACCACACACCCCGCTGCACGCCCGCGGGCCTTCGCTACCCAGCGTCCCCACCAATGACCACGCAAAATACAGGTAAGGGGGGAGGGGGATAATAATAAAAAGCCAACCATATCATACTTTTAAAAAAAGTCTCAGACAATGGCTTCTAGAACACACGTTTTATTCAGTTAGGGATTTTATGAACTACAAAGAGTGTTAATTAGTATTGTTATTGACATTGATATACTTATTTTGACTAATATATTATTACTTTGATATTAGCTGTAACTGATAATATTTGCATGCTATTTGTAATGGCTGAACTTGGAGTTCGAAACGCTATATTTTGTCATCTTGTTAAATACCCAGTTCAATGGCAAATAAAGATATTATTATTATAGGGGGATATTCATTTGTTTTCTCGTCTGGTTGGGTTTATAAATAAAAATAAAAATATAGATAAATATTGCATATATAAAATAAATATTATGGATAGAAATAAACATATATATATAAATATTTTATATAATACATATATAAATAGGACCCAACCAGATTATTATTATTATTATTATAATATGTGTTATTTTGTAGAAAATATTTTCGCTACTGCGGTAATCAAGCTTACCATCATCATCATCAGTCGCAAGACGTTCACTGTTGAATATAGGTCTAAACCACGTCTTCCGAATTCGCGCATTGCCAAATAATACTATAAAAAAATTTGTACCACTAACGCCCGGTTTCCGATACACTGATCATCGTAGATGTCAACTAATCAGCTGTCAAATGGCTTTACAAATTTCATTTTAGTTGCCAAAAGGATCGTTAAGCTCTCCGAATTGACCAGAATCATCACAATGATCAAATGAAGAAACATCTTTGTAAATAATATCATTTAATAATAATAGCATTTAATGTCTTGATAAAAAACAAACAGTGCTCGCACAGGCGATCATTTTTTTCTTTTGTTAAGCTGTAGAAGTGTAACTTATCTACTGTACATAAGTACTAACGGACTTTTCTTATTATCGACCACTTGCGCAGCGCGCGCACCAACTCTGCGTCGCAGGCGGACTACCAGCGGGGGGGCCCGGCCTACAAGCCGGTGCCGCCGCCCAAGCCCAAGCACTACCGCCCGCCGGACGCGATGCACCACGCGCGCAACGGGGTGAGTGCCTACCCCACAACCCCACAACCCCACAACCCCCACAACCCCACAATCCCCACAACGGTGCCCTCTGCGTACCGATAGCACTCGCAATCGCAACGGGTCAGAAGACACGGCCCCGCAAACGGTGACTCTTGCATACCGTTAGCATACGCAACGGGGTGAGGACCCTAAAACCACACAACGGTGCCTTTGCGTACCGAAAGCAATCGCCCAACCCCTCCTCCAAGTAAGGATAGCATTAGCAACGGGGTGAGTACACACCTCACCCGGCACGGTGCCCTTTTCATTCCGATAGCCATCGCACCGGGGTGCAGTAGACACAGCCCCATCGGCACCCCCTCCCCTATCAACAAAAACGAACTCTCACCAACCGAAACTCTTACCAAAAACTTATAACTAAATTATTAAAGATCAGGCAAGCTTACTCATTTGGCTTCATTTTACATAAAAATAAAATAACGATAGCCAATACCTTGATAGGCTAGAAGCACTTAAAGTAATGAAACGCAATTGTATAAACGTTTGCATCGGCTAAGCCGATGCCATTTTAACTAAGAGAGAAAGAATTACCTTACACGATTAAAACTCCTTGAACGTACGCAACTCGTTACGTTCAAGGAGTTTTGACCCGTGTGTTCTATAGCAATAACGTCGAAAATCGCAGAGCATGGAGCCGCCGCAAGCCGCAGGGCCGCGGGCGGGCGCGCCGCCGCACTACTCGCACTCGCACTCGCTGTCGCAGCCGCACCAGCAGCACCAACCGCACCAGCTGCCGCAACACCAGCAGCCGCAAATGCCGCAGATGCCGCAATTGCCGCAACTGCCGCAATTGCCGCAACTGCCGCAAATGCCGCACCAGCAGCACTCGCAGAACGCGCACCGGCCGCACGCCCACCCCAACTACCAGGTCTGGGCAACGCTAAACGCCATCATTTGGGAGGATGACGGGCATTAACTGAGCTGAATTGTGGAAATTGTGGAAATTGATTGTTCTTTTGAAGTTATACTTCTTTTTGCGCGTTTGGGAAAATTATGATAGTGAACTTTTTACGATGCCCGCGCACAACAATGTCTTTTTCACAAACAAAGAGTACTGGCTCAGGGGATAACATTATTAGTTATTTTTCATTTTTACACTAAAGAAGTGTACGTACGAGCTTCTTAACGCCTTCGGATTTCTCAATACAGACAATTCATCAAAAGTTATGTCGCCATAATTCTGGAAATAATGACCGCAGGCTTAAAGCAAACAGTTCGACCCCTTGTTCGAGGTGTGCGGTTTAAACCCCAATTCCGTCCACAGCAGGGGATGTACGGCGGCCAGATGGCGCCGCAGTCGCCGCCGTACTCGGGCCCGCCCCCCCACCACCGCGCCATCAACCTGCCCCACAACCCGCAGCTCATAGGTAACGCAACACGCACATGTCGCTACACACGTACATGTCAATAAAAACATGTATACACACATTTCAACATGCATACGATTCGACAAAAACATGAAACACATGACATAAGTATTACATCGGTACCTCAAGTTTGTCGTACTCTAAGAACAGGAAACAATTATTATTTAAAATATCGGATTATATGCACGATCAAAATACTATTTATCGTTATAATTTAAGTTTGTTTTTATAAAAAAAAAAATAAATATGTAATAAAAATACAATACAAAGAATTATGAACTACACAAACCACCCCCTTTATTTTAATCTAATTCGTATTATATTTTGTGGTCATATTCGTATTTAATATCACTACATAGTATAAAACTAAGTCGTCGCGCTGTCTGTCTGTCCCTATGTATGTTTTAGATCCTTAAATGATCCCTATGTATGCTTAAATCCTTATATGCAGCTTTTTTACTACATAGAGTGATTCGAGAGGAAGGTTTATGTGTATTAAACATTGCACCCGTGCGAAGCCGGGGCGGGTCGCTAGTAATATATAATTTTCTTTACAATAGTCAAAGTGTTCTCACCTCCAGACCTGGCAGGTAGCAGGGAGCAGCGCGGCTCGGCCTTCGAGTTGTACAGGAAGCCGCAGCACATGCACAATTTAAGGTAAAATAGACTCTACTGCCACGCATCTAGTCATTAAATCGCTCCACCCCGTGATTTTTATATCTCCATTCATACCTCAAAGCCGGATGCATGTTAAATCATTCTTCGAGGACCCCTTCTCTCTCTATCCAGTTAGGCCCCTGTACAATTTGCTCTAACATGCAAACACCATTCGCCTCACAAACGACTAACAACGCCTTCCCGGGCCACAGTATTAGCTATGGTATTGTATGTGGTAATACATTTTTTTATACATACCTATATATGTCTGTAACATAGTGTATCTCCGTATCGGGCGCTAGTTTGTCCAGTTGTAATATTGGAATAACTTTTGTATAACGTTGGGTTGTTTGATAAGCAACTATTAGCAGTATGTGTCTGCATTTTAGTGCAATTTGATACCGTTCGAAGCATATTGAACTAAGATGTCCTTTTCTTACATATCTCGGTCTCTCTCTGTTGCTCTTTATCATTTCTTCTCCATCTTCGTAATAAAGTTCGTTTTCAATATTGCCCTTATTACATATTTCTCTCGACGTATACCCGTAATGTTTAATGTTTTTATTCGTGTCGTTGAACACCTCTCTTTCCCTTTTCGTGTCGCGACATTTATTTCAATATGCTTTTAGTTTTATTCAAATCATATAATTAATCTTTTGAGAGTCGCCATTTACGTCCGGACATCTCAGAGCCTTCAATATGGTTGCATTTTGATATTCTAATGTATCGTATATTGAACATCTGATGTGTCTGTCGGTAATATCCATCATTGAGTAACTAAGTGGGCGTTTGGTTGCGGGTTTCCACAGCTCGTCCGATGCGATGAACTCCAGCGCGGAGCCCGACGAAACGTTCTCGCCGAAAACCAAAAAGAAATTGTCGAGAAAGCCGTCGTTCATAAAGAACGCGGTGCTAGATTTGTTCCGTTCGAAAGCGAAAAGCAATCGAAAGGTGTCGCGTCAGAAGTCGCTCTGCGAGAGCGATTTGCAGCAGAGGCACGCGCCGCAGGTGGCGGCGTTGAGGCGCGAGAAATCGGACCTCAGCGATATGAGCATTCACATGAGGAACCAGCAGATCAGGAATCAGATCCTGCAGAGGAGCAACTCCTCGTGCGAGAAGCCGGTCCTCAAACCGATCCTCAAGCGGCAGAGCTCGTTCTGCGACGACAGGAACGGCTCGATTTGCACAGTGCGCGATTACGAAGCGAAACCTGTGTTCAAGAGTCTGAGGAGACAGAACTCTATGTGTGAAATAGAGACAGAGCCAAAAGTTACCCCGCTGTTACGTAGACAGAACTCCCTCATAGAATATAATAGGAAGGGAATATATGGGCAGACTACGTCCAACTTTAATATGATTACCAAAATAGATCCAATTTACCAAAGACAGCAACAAATAAAACACGAACCGTTCTACCCCACTCAATCTCTACCTCCAGAACCACTCTACCAAAGCAAAGAGCACGTAGTATACGATCCTATACCTAAGCCGAGGAGGACATATACTTCTCTTTACGATACCTCCAGTGAGAATCCATACATGAGTAGATCGGAAATGTCCAATCAAAGTTTCGAGAGCCCTTATGGCAATCGAGAAACGGTGGCCATGCCCCTCATAGACCCACCATATGCCACCCGGTCTGAATGCATTCGCGACAATCCTTATGCAACACGAAACGAGGTCATGGAAAGCCCTTACGGTACTAAACAAGACATTACAAAACAATCCGAGTCATTTTACAGTGAATCACCATACTCCAGTAAGGAGCAAATGTTAAGATCCAGAATAGCATCTGAAAACCCTTACTCCACGAAGGAAGAAATGCTGCGTCAGAGATTTTCTGAATCCCCTTACAATACAAAGGAGGAAATGTTAAAGCAAAGGATAGAAGGGTCTTTTAACACGAAAGATTCACTGTATGGAAAAAGAACGTATGAACCGCCGCCGAGCACATCTTGGTCTGAAAACTCGTACAGCGTCAGACCTGATAGAAGGTTGCAGACACCGTTAAACTACCCAGGCCGTGCATCGCCCATGAGCAAATGCATGAGCGAGCCACCATATGCCACAAGAACAGAGATGATGGCAAGGATCGGCCAAACAGATTCAGCATATGCGTCGAGACCCGAAATGAAATCCAGTTGCTCCGAAAGCAATTACGGAAGTCGGCGAGAAATGTGCGACATTAGACATGACGTTAGACCCGCTTCAGCGGAATGTACGTACGTAACAAAGCAGGAGATATTAACACAAAAAGCTGCGCTATTGGCCAACAAAGAATCCATATACGGCGCTAAATTGGAGGAGAAACTGGAGATGATAAAACAAAGGAATCAGGCGAAGAAAGAAATGATTTACCAAACTCGGAAAGAGGCAAACGAGAGCGACTCGATGAAAGCTCGGGAACCGCTGTACGTATCTAAGCGGGAACTGAAAGATACCGTCATTTACGAATCACATCACGAGGCCAAAGACGTATTACCCTCCCCTGCGATCTCCGAAGGCAGCAGTGCCAGAAGTAGCCCGTACGAACTGAGCGACGCGAACCATTTGTCACGGCGGGAACCTCTGTACCAAACGAAATTGGAAGCACAGAACGCTAAAGAGCCGGAAGCGTTCCAGGAAATCGACTTTTCAAAGCTGCGACTGACCGAATCGAAAACGGACGCCGAGAAGGAAAAGTCCCAAGCGGAAAGCGCGATATTGAAGGGGGAACCGATGTACGCACCAAGGCTGCACGGCAAGGACGAGCACATTTCAAGCGCGCTAAAAGCGACCTCCTCGCCGATACCGTACGAGTCGACGACATCAATGGAGACGCAGTACGCTTCAGAGTGCAGCATGAACTTCGAGTGCAAACCGCAGAGCACGCCGTACGCCTCCCAAGATCTACCAGCAAAGTCCAATAGAACCGTCACGTTCTGCGAGAGGATCGCCGAACGGAGCGCGGAGAACAGCCAAGACACATCGGACAATAACTCCTCGAGCCGCAACGAAACTACTATCGTAAACAACGACACCACAGTGGCACAGGCGTCCCTATCGGACGAGAACGCGAAAGAAACTGAGGAGGTCCAGCCGGACGGACCTCACACCACTTGGGGCATTTTCGACAGCGAGGGCGGCGTGCTAGAGGACAGGCAATGGGGCGTGTCCCTGATAATACCGCCGAAGGCGATCGCGGCCGGCATCAAGCAAAAGATCTACTTCACGGTCTCCGACCCGCGACTGAGCCAGCGAGTGGGCGGCCCACCGATCGATATGGATAACGGTAAACGCTTTTGTAACGAGGCACGCGATTTAGTTCCGTAGACAGCACTTACTAATCGGCTATTAATTCACTGAATGGACTGGAGAAAATGGCGGGAAATGCGATTGCGCGAGAATTGGGACTGCGATTGTTTTTTTGTTTTCTCCCCCGAATGGTTTCCCTTCAACAGTACCGCTTTAGTTTGGATTTAGGAGTATGTTGTATATAGAAGTAATTGTTGCATGGTTTACTGCATGTTTTTTACTATACGGTATTTATTTGAAAAGCTCATATCATTATAATAATCATACACTAAACATGTTTCACATTCGTCGTATCATTATTATCTTACCGATATTTTATGCATTGGTCAATATTTACGAAAGTAATTCGTTAGCCCCTCTGAAAGAGAACCTAAATTGTGTTTTGTGTTTACATTTGCGCAGTTACTGCAACGCAATACACTCCTACTTAGAAATTGAAGAGCGGAGACGTCGACTATGCTACCTGCACCCAACATGACCCGTATGTTTGATCAAACGTTTGACGTGTTTGTGCACTGTTAATGTATTCGTGCAAATCCTTCTGTTCTCTTTATGTTAGTCTGGAACCTTTGTGGAACATTCAACATTCTACGTTTTAATTCTGTCCACGCTTGATGTTCTCATTCCTTATACGCCTTAGAAAATTTTTTCATACTTCAAATTCCGATTTCGTCAAGGGACATGCCCTTCCTTATATGTTTATTTATGTATTGCTAAATTTAGATATGTACCTTTTATATTACGTTTATGTTGTTATCATTGCCTGCTTTTTCATGCTTGCCTGCTCTAACAAACCGCATTAATGTGTTGCGACTCGTGTTTGTGTGTTCGTTTTTATGTTTCCCCTGTTCTCCAAAAACCGCAAAAAATTAGCTTTACATCTAAAGGATAAAACCTCTTCAGTTTGAATTCTTTCATGTTTTGTAGATTTTTTTCTTTATTTTCAAAATTTCTTTACACATTTTTCTCCTTGTAAAAATTCTTAATGTATCAAAGACTTAGGTCGAGCAATTTTTGGTTTACCGCTTTACTGAGCAAAGAATGGGAGTCGCCGCTAATTTAGGGTACCGACTGATGCACATATTACGGCGTACAGGTGAAGCCATGCTGTCCCCACTAGTGATGTGCGGGCCGCAGGGCCTGGTGTTCCTGCGGCCCGTCACGCTGCGCCTGCCGCACTGCGCGAACGCCGTCCCCTCCCTAGGCCTCACCATAAAGGCCACCGACACCGAGGCCCACCTCAGCACCGACTGGGACCAAATACACTTACCCGCCACGACTACCCTCAACACGGTCGCCGTCAAAGTGGACCACTTCTAGCAAACATTACAGCTATTGATTTCTTGTCTTTTTTTTAAGAATATTTTAAATGCGTAAATGAAAATATTTTTACGGATTTTTATCGCGTATTAATTTGATTATTAAATTCTCGACCCTTTCCAGTGTTCACAGTCAGGGAACTGTCGCGTAAAAAATATAAATAAAATCCGTAAAGAAAGTTTCATTTAAGCAAATATTATAGCACTAATGACTTTACGTAACAACGCGAAATATATGTAAAACTGTTTTATGGATTTTATCGCAGTCATCAATTTTTTTTTCTAAAGCATATATTCAAATTCTCGACGTGCTGAATGCTTCGATGCTGAATGCTTCGGATCAAAGTAACTAATCGAAAAATTCTATAGCTTGGGTTAATAACATGTACGACGTGAAACACGTCAGTTTAACACGTGGCCGAGCGTACGTACTTCGGGAATTTAAAACAAAATTTACATGCGATAAAATCCCTAAAATAATTTATATAACAAAACTACTTACGTCACACGGGTAAAAATAAAAAGCGTTACAGATTATAAATAGATTTACGTCAATATGAAGACATTGTCAATAGCGAAAAATTGGCAGGAAAGACAAGACACTGACAGATTAGCAATACAATTAAAAAAAGAAAATATCCAGATAAAATATGAATATTGTTATTGTTCAGTTATATTTTGAGCTAAACGGTGTCAGCAGCGTAAATGTTTGATCTCTTTTTTTTTTTAATTAAAAATGTCATCATCTACGTTTTATTTAAGATAACTTAGTAGATCTAGGAGTGCGCATGTGTTCCACAGTATAGGGATTTTCCAAATGAAATATCTAATTATCCAACACAATAAAAAGACAAAAAAGACACAGTCAACTTAGAATATGGTATTCGATGTAAAATGTAAAAGTATTTATTGCTACATAAAATAAAATAGTAATACAATTTAACAGGCGAAAATACTTTCAGCTTTTCTTTTCGATTAAGACTGCAAGATCCGAACTGATCCGTTCTTACGATCCAAATTACTTGCATTTGAAAGTAAAAACAAATATGATTACAATGTTCAATAACATGATTATGATTATTTATTAACTTTTTGGCTATTCCTAATATATCACTCACACACACCTAAATATTACTTGTCTAGTCAGTCCATTGCACAGCGTTAGAATATACATAGTTAGCTTACACACTCGCTGCAATACAAATTTGGTGTTACATGCAGTTAGAGACAGATCACGTAGTTGAACGGATCACAAGGAGGAGCATGCGAATCTAGCACAAATACCCACCTATCGTAATTATGCTACTCACAATCCACGCCGTAATATAAGTTAGTGGTGCTAAAAGTGACAATTCAATCGACATTCGGGGGAGTAACCCCGAACGAATCTCTCACAAATCTTAGGACATTAGTAGCGTTTACGGATGTCGCGACTAGCATATCATATGACCTGAGAGCGTAGACTAAAGAATGACGTTGGAATGTTCTAGAATAATATTTTTTTTAATGAACGCTTTACCACACTTAGGCTATCGATATAATTGTAATGTTCATATATGTTAATGTTAATATTTAATCCGCATTTTAACTTGTATTTTAGAATAATTACCAGTTGTTTGAAATATTAGTGATAATGTCAAATATAACATTTGTCAAATTTGGCTTCCACTGATAAAAAAGTTTTTTTTTATATTATTGATTGTAATCACTTATTATGTAAACGGACACACTAATTTTAATTTTAAAATTTAACTTAATACGTTTACGTATTTTTTACTCTTTTGGTTATACGAATGAGGATACATTGTATGAAGTAAGTTGCCAAGTGGTATCAACCACTGGATATGAATGATACTATGTATTGTACATTTTCTTGTTGCTAGTGATGGGGTGAGTTAAACCTCGACTCGATTATTAAATTTTATATATATAACGAACATATTTTGTTTTATTTTCAATGAAATTATAAATATCCTTTTATACATCGATCCATATTTATCAACGCACTGATTAACGACCTTTTCGTCACGCCACTGTTTTTCTTTGGTAGAGCCACGAGCTGCTGGTATTGCATGATTGGTCAGGCCCATTCGGGGACGTACCAAGTCCACATTTAGATTCAAAAGTAGGTAATTTAGCATTGTAATTTAGCATTACGTGTGAATGAATGAATGAATGAATGGAGTGTGATTAACATGTTACTATCTAAGAGGTTTGCAACAATCCAATGCTTGTTAGATGTCCACGGACGGTGGATGTCACTCAACATCATCTCGTGATCAGAATAAACATAAAGTTTCTATAATTAATAACCGTAGTTATCACTTGTTATTACTTATTAGTAATTAAGTAAAAGTGAAGTAAAGTATCAGCCTATACATGTCCCACAGCTGGGCAAAGGCCTCTGTGCAGAGGGCATAGTCCACCATGCGGCCCCACTGCGGATTGCCGGATTTCACATATCTTCGAAATATTTTTTTTATTATTGTTTCGAAAATATGCAGGTTTCCTTATAAAGTTTTCCTTCACCGCTGAACACGTGATAATTCAACACTTGAAAAATTAACAATTTCATTGCTGCTGGCACCGGGGATCAAACTCGGGTTGCTCGAGTACGTTGAATTAAAAGTAAGCGCCCGGACACTGAGCTATCACGGCTCTATTAATTAATATATGTAAATCTTATCCTTTAAACGAGCAATTCTTGTATATACATATATATACACATATATATACATATATAATCGGAATCTCGGAAACGGCTCCAGCGATTTTCGTGAAATTTAGTATGTGTGTAGATTCGGGGGCGAAAAATCGATCTAGCTAGGTTTCATTTTTAGAAAATGTCCTTTTATCCCTGTTTTCAGGAAATGAAAAATATCATTCCAATATGACGGTAATTTTCGCCGAAAAAATAAATGTTATAATAGCTCGGTCGGTAATCGGGCGGCCCCGAAACAGAAGGCCGTGGGTCGTGTCACGATCATCATTTATTTTTTACGGATCATTGCTCTTTATTTTTTATTTTTTGTCCGTCCAGATGATTTTGTTCTTTTAATTCTTTCTTTTGTGAAAAAACACCAGTTCATATTTTCTTATATTAAATATCATATTTCATTACTCAGTATTAAATACATTTACTAAATACAGTTTCCACTATAGTATTATACATCCAGTTTACACTGGTCTTCTGTGAGGGCCTACTTCCCTGGACGAGCCTCGTGCAACATCAGTAAATTTATAATCACCTCTAAGGTTGTTGATAAAAGGATACCTATGTAACGTCATGGAAATACGAAACGTTTCTCTAAAGGCATGCCATGTTAAAAGGCTGTTAGGGTAGAATAAATAACCATTTTCACTGAAGTAATGGTCGTTGTATGGAAGTGTTCAAATATATGCGCTATTTTACCTAAACTCGGGTGAATTACATGTGCAAGTTCCTTGAATGCACAGATGACTTATTCATGTAAGTGGTCACCATCGGCAACTGTTATTGGGTGTATTGTGTAAACGAGCACAGGCAAATGGCTGGATCAAGACTGAATGCAACACATGTCCGAGTTTTCGTATATGCAAAATATTGCGACGTACTAAAATTATATTAAAGTTAAAGAACGCTTTTGTTATCCAACAAAAGAGTCTATCTAATGTGTCTTTATATTGAAAGCTTCAAGTAGGAATGTTGTTTTCAAGCCTATTTTATTTCACAATATATGGTCGTAACGACGGCATTAGGCGGAAAGCGAAATCGCTTGTTAGGACTTACGGTGGTCACAAACCTCTGAAGTTTAAACGGCTCCAACGGTAAATGTCTATTAAAATGATCAAAAACGCCTTAATTCGGCGGTTCGCGGTTTTTTTATTCTTCGAGGTCAAGACAAAGTTTTTCAATAATATGATTGCTGTTATCTAGGAATACATGATTATTTATTAAGTAACATCCTATATAGGTCCCTGAGCTGGGCATAGGTCTCGTGTATCCGTCGAATACCGTCGTAATAGGGCATCTACCACAAAACTCCATTGCGGATTGGCAGACTTAACATATCTTCAAAATGTTTTTTTTTTAAATTATTATTTCGCTAATACGCAGGTTTTGCGATGTTTTCCATCAACGACGATGAATCAGCACTTAAACCATTTAAACATCCAGGCACCGGGACGTGAATTTGATCATGTTGCTAGTAATTTTGGATTAACGGCAACGCTGAGCTACGATTAAACAGGATAATTATAATATTACATTATCTGTCCTATTCCGTTAACGGTTTTCAGACGAAATGCATAAGTATAACATAGACAAACACCCAGCGAAACCACTATCTGTGGTTCGCACAAATAGTAGTCCCATGTGGGAATCGAACCCACGACCCCCGACGCCGAAGCCACTGCTGAATGTGGCAACTGCGCCACGGAAAGAATATTGTCAGATTTTTCTTCTATACTGTAAAATTTATTTATTATAAAACATTTCTTGTTAATTCTTTGTCTATTTATTAAGTGTTATATTAAGGAGTTTAATTACTATTAATACACAAGTTTATTGTTTTTAGTTTTGATTAATTCTGGTCAAAGAGAAAACTACAGAGTGCCATTATGCATTAATTTTTATCTGCATCTCCTTCCGGTCGTGTCTTGTTGTCTTTGTCTTTTTATGAGCTCTTATCACTAGGTTATTAATCACAGTGTAATGGTTTTGAATAGATAAAAATCAAAAATCTTGCGAAAACCAAACCAAGAAACCAGTTCGCTACACCCGCCTCTTTTTGCGTCGTTTCTTTTGTAATTCCTACGATGGGGCGCAGGTCGTTCATAATAAGGCCGTAAAAATGACCGTAATGGTCATGTGGGTTTTGATAAAAATTAATCACGACCCATCTACAACTCTAGGGTCAGCTTAAAATAAATTCGAGTCACGTCATTCCTTAACGGCTGTTACGCTTGTGTTTTGTTCTTTATGGGGGGTAAACACGTTGCATCAACACGTACACAAAT